ATATATATATACACATAGAGAGAGAGAGAGAGAGAGAGAGAGAAAGAGCCAGTTGCTGTATGATTGATATGATATGAAGAAAAAATTAACTATGAACATGATTTTTTTTAAAGGATGGCTCCCCCCCTCATCTGGGACAGTGGACAGACAGTACACCGGCAGTCCGACATTTCAGATACACATCTGCAACCCAGAGGTCAGAAACCAATGATCTTTCATTGACTCTCAGCAAAGCTCACCTCCCACATAATTCATTATTTACACACATAGTGTAATTTTGCTTTGAGGATTATTGAGAGTGAATGTGTCTGACTAAGTTGCTGATATCATCAGGGAACAGCGGCTCCTCTTGTCATGTTAATCGCTGCTCAGTGGGATCATGCAGATGAAGAATTAGGTCCCCAGTTAATAAGCTGTCTAATATCCTTTGTGCATTGATGATGGCTGTTTAAACATTTGAAAATAGCCTTTGGGAATCCGGTTAATCAATTACAGTCAAGACACTTGATTCAGATGTCTTTCCTGTTTGCTCCCCCCAGAAGTTATGAGGAGGTTGGTTGGGATGCAAAGTTACCCCGGCGCTTGAGGGCACCAAGAACAACCTTGGAGAAACAGGCACACCCATTGAGCGAGTGTCTGTCACCAAGGCGCTACAGCAGCCGACCTCAGCTGTGGCAGGTGAGCCATGGAGAACAACCACTGACAAGCTCTGCCAAGGCTGGAGGCCGGAGCTCGACTGTTTACTTGTTGTCCAGCTGTGGGCTCCTACACGTTTACACTCACAGCTGAAGGGAAGTTAAATTTTTAATAGGCTAGCTGATTACTCTGGCAAGAGGTGCAAATGTAACATGGCTGGAACGGAATATTTTACAGAGGAGAGGACTGTTGTGCTGAAGTCATTAACCAGTGGTGGTTTTCACGGAAGAAAAGTCAGTTTAATTAAGTTATTTGAATGTAATTAGGCTACTATAAAAAATGAACAGACTGTTATTTTTCTCAGTGAAAACAACCAACCCACAGTTGAACTGTTTGGTGTTACTGAAAGGCATAAATGTGTTTGAAGTCATTTTTTACACTACTATATTTCTCTCATTCCACCATGTGAAATATATTTATTATAACACTGCCAAAACAAACAAACAAACAATGTATCCCTCTAAAATGTACTGTGTATATATACAGTATGTATCCAAAACCTGATACAGGCTCTTCTTTTAAGCCAAAAAACCCCATCAATAAGCCACACTGTTTCACATGGGGGTCTGCAGAAATCTTCTCTCCTGTCCTTTTGACCTGTGAGGTGTACAGGTCCTCCATGAAGGGCAGGTTGGCACCGACGATTCTGTCCATTGGAGTCTGTTCCTGTCCTGTTTGGTTGCTGATGAAAAACCAGACTGTAGACATATAACAATAACCTGAACTCAGCACCCTTCTGGTCGCATGTCGTGTTTTCTTACTGCTACAACACTGATCTGAAGATATCAAAGGTAGTGTGATGATTTTCATTATGTTGAACAGCTGGCCCTGTGGTGTGGTCACAACAACCTGGAGCTGAACACTTTCAAAGAGCTGCTGATACATGTGTGTTTGTGTGGTGAAGTTTATAAAAGAAGAGACTACACCAGATTGTATTTCCTGATGCACACTACCATTCAAAGGTTTGGACACACTTTCACATTCAATTCAATGGGAAAGTGTGTCCAAACCTTTGGCTGGTATTGTAGATGCATACATTAAGAAAAACAACCTATTGTTGTTGTCTTTTTCCAGTGTATTGGAGCTGAGTGGAGCAGACAGCAGCTTCGATCGAGGAATGATGCCAGGAAGCCCATATCATTGTATGTTTTCAACAGCAAGTGAAAACTCCATGTCCATCTTAATAGAAGTAACTTTAATGCTGAGCTCCAGTTTTTAAGCAGCTTTACTTCCTCCCTATTTTCAGCTGTAGTGTATGTTCAAGGTCAGGTCAAATCCCTCTGTACACGTGAGTACTTCATAAATGTCTTTCATACAGTACATGTTAGCTAAATCCGTATCCCAAGCATGTTTGCTCAGAACTGTCCTTGAACTTCCTTTACAGCATGTGTGTGGTCTCGTGTGTTTGCAGTGGTATGATCGGCTCTGAGAACATGGACAACATTGACAACATGGAGAAAGACTTTCACCAACTGACCCTGAAGAGGAGCACTATACCTCCTTACACAGCTACAGCATGGTGAGACACACCTGCATCACACATACGTTCACAATAGCTCTGTAGAGCATCTTGTGCTTTAGCGTGACATTTATTTTGCACTTGAATTTTTTTTTTTTTTAATTTCACTCAGGATAACTAATGTAGATTCTGAAAAAGCAGCTATTATCTTTGAAAATTCTGTCGCAAGATATTCATTCTTAATCAGATAAATTGTGTGTAAACCTTTGTTCTTGTGCTAAGCCGAGCCACCATCCCTGGTTACACAGGCAAGGCTGCCTATGCTAACTCTGTTGCTGCTGATGCTGCAGTCTGCAGTCCTGCACATGCCTCGGGGTGAGTTTTCTCAGTGGCTTTATTGAAGGCATCAAAATAAATCATTATCTGATGTTCAGCTGCTCTTACTTTATACTCAGTTAATCTTCTGCTGTCCCCACTGAGCTTTCACCCCACTCAATACATGATTTTTATGGGTTTAAGGCATGGGACAATAATGATCACAAATGTCCACTGGAGGGCGATCTAATGCACACCACTGTCATAGACCTTTTAATACTCCTACTTCACTATGGAGATGTCATCCTGTTTTAATGTCATTCCATTGAAAATGAAATACAAGTCAGGGTGATTGTTACCCAAACTGCACTAACTGCAGTGGGTGATGTTATTATGTTAGTTAGAAATGTTATGTTTAGCAAATTAATAATTTAAAAGTTACATTTTGAACCTGTAATTTAAAAAAGTAAATTGAAGCTAAATAGACCTAGAATAAACTCTTCACAACAAACAAAAAAGAAATGGTAAAAACAGCAGGCAGCTGACTAATATCTTTGGCCAGATATAATTTAAGTCTTCATGATACTTAAGACACGATTGCTTATGTACATCCACTCAGTGACAACTCACAAACAACTAATAACAACAGACATCTTTCATCATAAAACTGTTGTGCACAGTGTCACAGTCCTGTTTTAGCAAGAAGAATACAAGGTACCTGCGTATTTCAAGCGAAATAAGAATAAATAAAAAGAGAAAGTTTAAGAATGCTTATAATGTTATTAGGAAAAGAGCAATAAATATTATTTTGACATTCTTATTTCCTTCATTTCTTTCTTTACAGTACCACTAGGAAGAAAATTAGATGAAGGATAATTTAAGGGAAAAAGAAGATTCTTGCATAGAAGAGATTTCAAAGGGAATGTTTGTTTTTTAAATGGCTTCAAAAGCAGCTGAAAATGTTTAATTTAAGAAATGTTTAAGTCATATAATGTCAGCTTAATACTGAAAATTTCAGTTTACAAAAGGGAAGTGTTAAATGTTTTAACACATCTTGCTGTGTAGAGCACACATCCCTCTGCTTCGGGAGCACTGCCGGTCTGTTAAGGAGGTGCAAACCTGTTTCCTAGCTGGGCCCCAGCTGAGTGAACTTAACCGGCTTTTGGAGCAGGCATCTCCAGATGGTTGAATCCAGAGCAGCTCGTGGTAATCGTGGTTTTCACAACCCAGATCCATTTTCCTGGAGCCCAGCACCCTCTGAGATCTGTTTCCTCTGCTGATTAGGCTGGCCTCCCATATTTTCCTCCCCAAAACAGAAAACAAGACAAGCACTTGGACTGATTAACTGTCTGCTGCAAGTCAGACGTCCTCGGGATTTTTGTTTGCCAGAATTCACTCATTGCACAAGTGCCTCTGGGTAGTTTTGAAATGTCACATTGTAGCAGTCTTAGTTATTTGCTGTTTCACTATGATTTATAATTTACTGACTCCTCTAAATAAATTCTAATAATGACATATTTTCACAGGGCAGCTGAAGAGTCAGGGAGTCCTGTTGTCACCTGTGTGGCGCCCTTGTCCCGGATGGTGACCACCACAACCCCCAACAACCCGTTCCTGAGACCTGCACTTCCTGTCTCATACACATACGCAAGGGGAGATATTAGACAAACTTGATGAGAAGGTTTTGAAGGAGTCAGTTTGCTTTTTATTACTTCTATAATGATGTGATGTCAGTGACTGATTTGGAGTGAGTTGGAGAATAATGAGATGCCCCATTATCATAATTTCCCTGATTTAGATGAGTGGTTTTCTAACTCTGGGTAGTGAGCTCTGGCATTGTCCTCTTAAACATTCGCTCTCTCACAGACTCACTCACTCACTGTGAGTGTATGTGTGTGTTTTAGCCCACACACTCAATGTTTCTGTCATGAAGGGCAAAGTGAGGGGACAAAACAGAGAAGATATTGAGGGAAGTAAGAATTTTCTGTACTAATGTTACATATCTAACAGTATAAACTGACATTTAAGTAATATTTTGGCATTAACCCGATCTATTTTGCTCAGGAGCTACATAATCACTGCAGTCTGCAGTCATCATTTTGAGATGCACGTTTTCTGTAGATGTGACTGTAATGCAAATCAACATTATTAAGTGTCTGCAAGCCATATTTTTATGTTTGTGGTTTGTGCAGCTTTACGCTTAGACAGGAAATAGGGATGAGCTGGTTTTCCTGTCTCTCTTTATCTATATTTTGTTTAGATTTACATTTCACAAGGATTTGTACTTCAACGCACTTTTGATTTTGTGACAAATCAAGGTTGTGTGCTCACTAATTATTGTAATCCACATTTCAATTATTTTACACTTTGTCATTAAAAAGGCACTTCAGTGATACATACTAGTACTGCACATCCATTAAGCTGGGGGACTCGCCAGAGTCACATTTTACAAAGAGTGGTCAAAATTGAACTGGATTTTAGTCTCTAGTATGAATAAAACTCCAAAATGCTGGAGCCTACATTTCCCATAATGCAGCTCAAAAGCAACTTTTAATTAGATATCATCAGGGTAATTTATTCAAACTTGGAAAAGTTTCCTTCAGAAGTACAGAAAACAAGTACACCTGTTTTCACAGGCTGTGTAGCATTCCTCACAAAGAGCAGTGTTGGACAAGTTACTTGAAAAGTGTAATTAATTAGCCTACATTAGGCCTGCTTATTAGCTGACTCTCATTATTACACAGCACATCACAACCAAAGGTGCCTAGTTACAACTCTCAACTCCAATGTCTACACATCACATATTCTATGGCTAACATGTAGAAATAGAAAACAAGAACTTATTTTAACAAGCAGTCTGCCTATGTCATATTTCTCGTATCTGGATATACACTTACCCCCTCTGGCTACACCTGAACTTCATAACTTCAAAGATTTGGAGTCTTATTATTAGTAGTAGTAGTGTGTGTTAGTATCTGGAGTTCTGAATCATACCAACACACACTATATATTTGTTGAGATTCATCGTTTCCTTGGCACTGCAGTGAAGCCAGTAAATCTCGAGAGCGCACTCTTCCTTTTGGCTTGATATCATCTGACAGCTCTGTCTGAAATTGATGTTTAGTTACCACCGCTTTAATGTGCTGGACAATCTTAATTTGAAGCCTAAATTTTGTGAGTAGCCAGCACTCTTCTCTAACTGCGTTATCAAATAATTGAGAGACCATGAGGCTTAGTTACTGTGAGCTAAAGTATTTTCAGAGTAATTACTGGTCACTTTTCACCACTAGGACTTTTGGAGATGATTTAGATTTTGCATTCCTTTTCTAGACAGTTTTATACGGGTGGATTCAGGAGATGACCAGGGGTGGCAGCAGAGTGGCGACCACTGTGCAGCAGTGATGTTCCCAGCCAAGAGTAAATAAGGAGTACAGCCAACGTTAGACAAAAAAAAAAAGGATTTGTAATATTGTATGATTCATTATTTCATAGCACTAGTGGTTTAATTTACTTGTACATGCATTTCAAAAGTACCACCCCCTCTCTGAGTCTGTGCCCCAGCCTGGCCACTGCCCCCCTAGATCCTCTGCTGGCCAAAAATGGAGCTGTAGCAAGTTACAGCTTTGCTTAGCTTACCAGAGTGACACCAGAGGAAAATAGCTAGCTCAGCTCTGCCCAAAGTAGAGTACTGCCACTGTTTCAAAAAGTGAAGTTTAAATGAATTTGAACTACTGTAGTATGTAATTTTAAGTATGTAATTTTAACTAATTTGACCTTTATAGAATATGTGACCCACTCAGGAGGCAGAATAGCAGGTGAGCCAATTGGACATGTAGCCATTACAATTCAAATATTGAATTTCTTCCTGTGTTCAACTAAAAGTTTGAATTGTGAACCAATCAGCCAACCTACATCTCTAAAACTCACTGGCTAACATGTTATAGTGTGGCTGTGTGCAGCCAGCAAGCTGTTTCTGTCTGTTCTCGAGCTTTGTGCTAAGCTAACTTTTTCTTGCTACATTCTTTTGAATGGTTTCAATCTTCACACCTAATCTCAGTGGGAAAGCAAGGAAGCATAGTCCCCTAAATGTTCTAAACACTTTCTTTAAACTTGATGTTGTACCCAAGATGCTGTTTGCTGTTGTGTTTACAACCAATAAAACTGAGTAACCCTCCTCATAGCAATCATACCCCCCCACCCCATCCCCCTCAGATCCAGTCTCTGAATCTCATCACTGGGTCTTTTTCAAAACAGGCTCACAAACATCATGATTGATTCTGCTACTATCCTGCAGGATCTCTTGAAGCCTGCCTGGGCTGAAGATTAATTTCCTTTTCCTCGTCTTAATTTTTACTCATCGCCTCTCCATAAAAAGGCTAAATGTCAAGCATGCCTGACTCCTTCTAGTGACACATCTATTCCAGCAGATAATTACCATAAGGAAATTGATGCTTTAGTGTGCAGAGGAGAATTTAATTTACTCTGACATCCTCACAGTATAATGCATTCCTAAAGAAAGAGAGTTTTTCACTTTGCAATTGACTTTTTAGAAAAATTGGACTATTTAATGTGATTATCACTCTTGAACGTCTTTGACTTATTAAGGTGTTGAAACCAATTAAGGGTTACATGCTGCTCATGCTTCCAAATGTGAAACAGTGAATACTGCTTAAAGATCCATGAAATAAGAACCAGCCAGAGCCTATTGTTCGCCAGTCGACCGGCTACATTGCCTGATGATGTTTTGAGACTTGCCAGGTAATGATATTAATTACACCAACGTGGCTTGATTCAGGTTGTGGATTAACCTGAAGGAGCAGAGGATGGTGTTTCGTTTGATTTGCAGCCATGTAACCTAAGTTTAATGTTACCAAATTAAATAATATTATAAAACTGTGAAACTCTCTGCAGAAATCTGCATTAATCTGCAGGCATTTCCACATGACCAAGAACAATTTCCACATTTTTAAGAAGGTAACACATGAGGATGATCATCAGCACCTCAGCCAGTGGTGAATATCAATCCCAAGTTTGCGTCAGCTTCTCTAAAATCTTGACTGAATCATTGTCCGGACAGTGTTTTACCTCTCAGACCTGCAGCGAGTAAAGCTGCTGTGTCACTCAGAGGGAGTATCGCTGGGTCATGGGGGACCCCAGTCATGACTTCATGCCTCTGCATTTGCTGATAGCGTTGAGTCACATTTCAGTCCCAGCATTCCCTCTGTGTGGCTTCAGGAGTTGCCTATCCTGCAGTTTTTACCTGCATGACAGAATGTTGCAGCCTCTGGCCTTACAGATGAAGGAGTTCTGGCTGTGAGGCTTTGAGGAAGTCGCCAAACGTTGCTGCAATCTATATTATGACCATGAAGACACAGCAGGCCACAGCACTCCTGCCTAAAGTTCCTCCTTTTGCAACCAACTGCCTGAATGTTGTGCTTCTTAGGAGATAAGGGCAGCCTCCCACGAAAGGTGACTCAGCAATCCAGCACACACAGCCTCTCCTGAGATAAGAGGGCTCTGAGGGGCCTGAGGACAGCAGGACACTGGGAAAGACAGTCGCAAGCAGAGAAAACAGTGGTGTGTAACCATGACTTGTTCTGGAAACTTAAATAAAAAAAGCTGTCACCTAATCAGCAGTGAAGGAAGGAAGACTGTCTTAATACTGTAAGCTTTAATTTGAAATACAGCAATTACAGCACAGGTCCACTCCACCAGATTTTCATATTAGATAACAACAACACAACATATCTGATAACCATAAGTGAACTGTTCAGTTAAACCACAGGTGAGGTTATTTATTATTTATTTACAGTTTTAATCAATATCTTTTTAAATGATTTCAGACAATATATGAGTACATATCATAGATACAAACCCTTTAAAGGATCTGTATAGAAATTTGTGGCTGCTGCTGTACTGTACTGTGTACAATGTCATTACATGCTCTGTCAGTATGAACAATAACACATGGAAAAATTGTGAATAATTGCACCTTATCCAGTTAAATGTAAGCAGTGTGTGGTAATGGATTACTAATTTATATTTGCCGTTGCGTGTCTCGCCCGATTGCCGGCCGGGATTGGCTCCGGCCCCCCCGCCCCCCGCCCGTGACCCCGTTCAGGGACTAAGCGGGAGAAAATGAATGAATGAATGAACGTTGCGTGTCTCCGTTTCAGGTCTATTCCAAGCAGCTGTGAAAGATCAACACTGCAAGAAAATTTCTAATAATGAAGGTTTAACCCTCATTCATCTGAAACTAAGACATCAGTGATGGGTTTGGACACCCAAAGCCAGTGGCATAGTGTTGGTTTGCACACTCCTGTGCACCAAACCAGAGGGAAAACCACATGTCAGTGAATATCATGCAAATCTGCATGATAATCTTTTGCAGGACTGAGGCACTGACATGGGGAGAACGCAGTTTACATTGATCTTACAAGAGAAATTAACTAACTAAAATTACGACAAAAGAAGCGATTTGCTCGGGTTCTAATGTGATGAGGTAGAACAGGCAGCTTTGACACTGAGGAGACCATCACTGGAGAGAGAGAGTAAAGCCGATGATATATTAAAGAGAAAAAACTGATTATGAGAGAAAGAAAACAGTTGTGTTAATTTCATGGACTGCTTCAGAATGCCAGAACAGGTGACAGAATGAGTGGTCCACTCTCCTCGCGCGCCTCATCCCATCTCATGCATGGCTGCCAGTAATGGTCTACTGGGTGTCAGCTTTTATTGGCACAGCACAAAGCAAGTGCCAAAGGCTCCCCGTCGCAGACTAGGCCTGTGGATAAAAGCAAGCAAAATGCCTCAGTCGAGCTCAGAGACATAGTCATGTTGGGCTGGAACGAGGAAGTGCAGTGGAGAGGGGAGGGACTCAGGGCGCAGCTCCATGGGGCCGCCGCGGGGCTGCGACCTTCTGCACATGGAGCCGGGGAGAGTTGGAAGAACTTCATACTGCAAACTCAAGGAATAGCAGGTAAAGTGACTTCTACCTCGAGTTTCAGCTCCACATTAATCTCAAAGGCTAGGTCAAGACCTTTAGGCTGATCTAGTTCGTTCTCAAGATTTTTAGGAGACATTTGCACCTGACTGGAAAAAGCTCTCCTTATAGTTTCGGTGCAGGTGCGCCTCAGCATCAGATCCTGTTTGGTACGCGCAATTCTCCGCTGGTGAAGGACGTGTAACGGATTAACAAACCATCGTACTTTATGAAATTAAATACAGAAAATGTTTTATTTTACTTCGTTATTTTGTATTTGTATAGCCAGTATTTAAAGGGACATAGAGGAATGTTCCCCTTTTTCCACATATCTCTTTCGTTTGGGAACACATCGACAAATTATTTCACAATAACTCAGATTTATGTAAAAATACAAATCTAATTTCCAAGATTACCAAAAGTTTATCTGCGCATTTTGTTAAGGTTTTAACCTATTTAGTGCGATTTTACACTCCTGTTACAGCACCTGTTGCAACAGATGTGCGGACCTAGTAGACTCCTGATAGTCCCTCAGTGCCTGAAGTTTAAAGAAATATTTCAAGACAAATTACCAATGAAAAAACAACAACTTTTAATTAAAGCGCAATTTTTTAGGGGCCCCCAAACCAAACCGAATGTGATAAAGTAACGCCGCTAAAACAGGAAATCGGTCCTGTACGCACCGACCAGCGCTGTGTCTAATGTCTCATATAAATTAATAATCAATAAATTCGATAATTGTCCATACCGTTAAGCTTTGTATTCACCTGCTCGAACCACAGTCTCAGTTAGTTAGTTGTTAAACACCTGCGTGAAGGGGAGAAAGAACTCCCCTGATGAAGGCAGGACTGATGAAACTTTTTACACTGCTGACACCGAAGTGGAAAGTTGTTCATCAACGCCCAGACAAAAACCTGCTGTCAAACTCTTGAGGAAATAAAATGCTTTCTTCTTTTTAACACGTTGCAAAGACAAAGCTCCTGGTTGTAGACGCTCGCTCTAGTAGTTTAAGCCACATTAAGATTTAATAATAATGGTATAAATCTATCTTTAAAGTATCATTTGTGTGATGTAAAGCACGGTTCATTGTGCTGTAGTTCGTTTGTTCACATCTGAAACTGTGTGACAGCATATTCATTTTATGCCATCTGTATTTTAAGTCCTATGAATATGCATTTGAAATTTACTTTTAAGTGCAGTGTTATTTTTTTTTATGCATCTGAAACATTTGTGGGAAGCTAATATCTCTGCAATTTTACTAAAGTCACACTGAAATGCAAACACTTAACAAAAACAATTAGAAAAAATAATAGTAGTAAAGTAAGTTTGCGTTCAGATGTTAAAACTTGTAAATGAAGCCCAGTACCTGCACAAATAGAATTTTTTCATAGTTCAGTTGGAAAGAGAAGTGCTGCAAATCTGTCTGCAGATACATCAGCTTTCTTGTCAGTAGAAACAGAAGTAGGAGGGGGCAGAGGAAGACAGACAGTTATTAAAATGATTGTATGTCTGAATAGCAGAGTAGTGAAGTGTGTCAGATGCAAATGAAGGAAACTTCTCTTCACCGCACCTTTACTCTCCCCTCACCCTCTTGATGGGCTCCCAGAGCACATCCGCTAACAGTATCTACCCACTTACAGCCGTGAATTACTGATGAGAATCTCCATGTGCATTTGAACAAAGGTGACCATGCACCACACTGCTTGGCAGTGTAGGATGATCTCTTTTCCTAATGGTTGATAAGAAAGCACCCACAGCTTCATCACTTCTCAAGAAACCAAAGTATTCATTCAGAAATTTTTATTAAGCCTTTAACTGTCTAAACTAGAAACTTTTGGTAGTGCCTGTGAGAAGAAATAATTAGCTATATGACTCATATTGTTTGTACAGAGTGAGGACAACAATAATGCTATTTTTATGCTATAAATCAATATAATTTATTTATTTATATGTATATATGTGTGTAATTATGTACATATAAATTGGTGCTACAAAGTTGTGGCTCCACAGAGTAACCCCCCATGTTGTGCTGAGCAAATACTGATATATTTAAATGCTATAACATGTTTTACTGCAGCCAAACATCCATTTGGCATCAACAAAAAATATGTACAAGTATTTCACATTAGCCTCCTTGGTCTTAAATGACACGTTTATTGTGGATTTTAATGTTTAATCAGTCTTTTAAAGGTAACAGACAATAAACTGCCTTAATAATACTGTTTTAATATTGTTACAATTTTTAAAGCTGCAAGAATTTTAATGACATGAATGTAGTTCTAAGTGAAACATTAGAGAAGGACCCTTTTTGTGTTTTCCGCTGTTTCTATACTTGAGTGTTTTGTTGTATTTTCCAGTATTAAATGTGTATTATGTATACTTATGTATATGGAGCCCACACACCAGTGTTTGAGCTTCTTCCTGGGGATCCAGACTTTGCTGGTGTGGTCCCCAGTATCTGTTAACGGTTTCACTGTTTCTCATCTCCACCCTGCTCCCTGGTGTAGCTTTTGCACCTCACTATAAGCAGACGCCTCTAACCTTTCCCCCAACACACCACCCACATCTACCAAATACACACACACACACACACACACACACACACACACACACACACATTTGACATACTCAGACCAAAACTTTTCCAGTCCCCCTGCACAGTGAGAAGTGTCTCTGAAGTCTTTTCTGTGACTTCCATTTCACTGGCTGAAAGATTCCACCTGCCCCCAGTTCATAACCCCACATTCACACACCAACACACACCTGGTTACAACCAGCTCATGAGCAATAAGAGGGAGCCCACAAGTCCTGCTATTTTCAGATTTTAAGTTTCAGTCAACTAGATAAATGAGAAACAAACATCACTGGTTAGTTGAATGAAAACCTTTTAGCTGTACAAACTTTTGCTGCATGAACTGCAAAAGGCATGAAAATAGTATCGCTTTGTACGTGAACAAAATAGCTACTTCCTGAATATTCTACATGCACCTTACTTTCCACATGCCTACGCAAGTGGGTTGTGGCTGACTATAGGAACTCGTTATTTTTGTCGAAGCCCCCCCACCAACACATCCATGTTTCCCCTTGCACCATCTGCCCAGAAAAAAAGGCACATGAGAATATACCCTCCTACGTCCCCATCCTCCAAACTCCAGATGCTGGAGAACTCAGACCAAAACTAACAAAGTAAAACACAACAACCCGGTGTTGTGCTGAACAAATGATATGCACTAGTGACCTTTGCCCCCCAATCCCCCACCCCCACCACCACCTCTTCCCCCCTCCCTCTCCTCACACTTGCATCCTGGGTGTCTGCAGGCTGCCGAGCTCCTGACTTGACTCCGCAGAATACTGTGTGTTGCGACAGAGTGGCGTGGTAGCTTCCCACAATTTGTTCCAAATGTGTGGAGCCATCTGTCAGTAAAACAGGAAGGCCTAGGTTCCCCTTCTCCCTTGGGCTTGTTTCGTTATTTTTGGGAGCTTCACTTCTCTCTGTGTAGCTGCTTGGACTGGGCGGCAGCCCCACCAAGGGCTTCTTGAAGTGGTGGAGCTGTGGCTGTGGCTGTGTGGCCCATCTGCTGCAGGCTTGAGGGCCATCCATTATTAATGGGGCCATAGCACTGGTGACTCCTCAGATATTCAGGCCTGGCCGGAGGATTACTCCTGGACTCGACTGCCTTGTCTTGCTAAAAAAAATTAATACATAAAGAGAACTTCTCAGTCCTTTGGCCTGCTTCTCTGTCTTTCCTTTTCTCTGCCCCTTCCTGTTGCGTATGCTCTTCTGACTTTCTTGCCCTCCCTTTGCTATCTACTTCTCTGCCTTTACATCTATCTCGCTGCCTTTCTCTCGTCCCCCTCTCTTTGTCTCTGACTGTGGCTTGCATGTGTCTGTGCTCAGGCCGTGGGCTCAGCGATGCATGCTCAGTAAATTAGACAGAACACGAGCACTGATCAGCTGGGCACGGCAAACACCCGCATCCTCGGTGACCTGGGGCCAGTTAATTTTCTGCTTAATTTTGCGGCAGTCAGTTTGCATTTTTGGATGATTATGTGGCAGGAAATTAACAATAAATAACAAATGTAGTCTGAAAGCCCATTCCCAGCAACCCGGTGCTATACCAGTGGGCCCCATCAGCCGGACCCAAGCCACTTTCCAAGCTCAGTCTCTCTGTCAGACTTGTAATGAAAATGTCTCCAATTCGTTGTAATGTAATGCAGGGATAGTGGCATGTCTGCAGCTGTGACAGGAGTGAGCTCACTGAGGTGCTGGAGTCACGCTGAGAAGTACACCCTTTACTCCAGTCTAGCTTTTTATAATGTTGTTCCTTCAGCCTGCACTTGATTAAACTTACACACATCTCTATCTCCATCTCTCTCCCATTAGAATACTTGCACCGCATGGAGACAGAGGAGGCTCAGGAAATGGCCCAGATGCCAGGTAAAACACTACCTCCTGCATGACTGACCCACAGAATGCAGAAAGTAAATACAATAGGTCCACAAACAGGCGCTTACACCCACCCAGAGGCAATTTAGCTCATCTAGAATGAGACACACTGAGGGGTCGCACTGTGAGTGATGGCCATTTGCTGGTGTGTGTCTCCCCAGGCAGAGACAGCCTGCCCACCAACGAGGCGTCTGAGGAGGCGGAGGAGCCCATGGCCGTCCCTGAGGACCTGTCAGCCAGCTCTGCCCACCAGCAGAACAAGAGAGGAGACAAAGGTACGAGTACGGCAAAATCTTAACAAATGCATCCACTGCCAGTCAGAACATCACTGATGCCTGTCATAATTAAATGTAAATCACAATGAGTGTGCAATTGCTAGGTGTTAAGGTGAGTGTATCCCATGAAGCAGCAACAAAATGAGTAAAAGCCACTGCAGTGCCTCCCCCCAGCAGTAATGTATTCATTAGCAAACTAAAAGTGATGTCGGTATCAAAAGCATTACATGACAAACATTAAAAAGCATGAAAGTGTTTTTAGAATTTAATCCCATACACATCCAGTGGGAGATATTTGTCGTTCCAAATCCCTTGGAAATTTTAGCTGAAACTGCAAAAGACATAAGTAGGTCACTGACTGAAAAGGTTAAAAAAAATCTCTTTGATTCATGTCATGTCATTAATAAGCGGAATCTTAAGGAATAGCTAATGTGGCCTTGATTTGAGTTTATGAACACCAAGCCAGGGAATATCATGGTGAAAATAAGGATGAAGCAGGCTAGGAGGACCCACATCCACTGTGTCTGTTTATCTTAGGTCTCCTTGGTGTGTGAAAATAACTGAAATGCTCAGTAAACTACACTTTTCATAGGACAAATAGCAGAGGTATCCTTCTGCCTCCTACTACAGTTTATTCATAGGTTGTTAATGCTTTCCAACACATGAATAAAGCTAATGAATATTCAGAATGTTAAAAATAGTCACAAGACATTTCAAAATGTCAAATGTGCAAACAGTGGTATGGCTCAGGAACATAGAAATGTGGGTTATTTTTGTTTTTGTCACAACAAATTATTTTACTTGATGGCAAAAAAAACAAAAAACAGGCATGATTGCTTAAATATGACCATCCTATTGGCGTCTTTCCATTTATCCAGATAACGGCAAAGATTAGCAGCACACAGTCAAAAAAAAAAAAGTGAGCGGAAACTGAAATAGGATGTGTAAGAGTTTCCTAAGAAAAACTTGCCATCAGGCAGTTTCAACACTCCTGGAGATAAAGCGTTCAGGAACAGGGCCAAGTTTGAGAAACATCAGTGCATCACTACACCATATAGGTCACACACCTGCACACACACACACACACACACACGCTTACTCACAAATGCTTTCTGTTTGACTTAACAACTGTTGAGCTGTCATGTAGGAATCTTTGAACACTTCTGAACAAGTGTTAGGCAGCAAGTGTAGAGCCAAGCTTTGTTAGACTACGTCTCTCTAATCTCACTTGACTGATGGATGTTTAAATCTGGAAAAACAGTGAACAGTGAAAAAGCAGATGATTTAAATTTGTGACTTTTATTTGTGGCATGTAAAGAGAGCAAAGAGGGCACAGCTGGTAGCATGCATCCTTGACTTTATGCACTGTTTTTGAGTTTCTGTTCATTCCCAATGCAGTATGATCACATTAGTGTGTGTGTGTGTGTGTGTGTGTGCATGTCTTTATATAGGGAGAGAGAGTAAGAGCTCAAACAGCAAAGAGGGGAAGTGCAAGTATCTGGTACATCTATGCATCGCTGCCTCTGTGCTAAAAGTTCAAATGAGTTATAATTATCACTCAGGATCATGTTTTGGACAGGTCTCTATAGTGAAAAAAGGCAAAAACCAAGAGGCTATATGTGGTACATGGGATCTCGGAGTATCAAAAGCTCAAAACCCAGGTTGTTTCCTGCTGCAAATAAGTCTTTGCAGACTGGGATCATCATTGTTGCTAGGCACTCACAATTCTGCAATTCACACATATGACTCCAGACATAAAGGAGGTTTATTCGTCATAGTGAACCCTATCAAAATGTTTACTGTTTAGTAAATTGTCAGAGCAAAGATACATTACTACATTCATTTTATTGTCTTGTGTGGATTAAACTAAAAACAGTGTTTGGTTATTTGGTTAAAGTCACAAGGCTGTATGATGACCTTCACAACATCCCAGAGAAACCATTTGTCTTTCACTTTCAGTGATTCAGACAGAGTCTTTTCTATTTCAGAGGCATGAGACTGAGAGGGACACTGAGTTGTCTAGTTCCTGAAAACTTGGAGGCGAGTTTATAAAAAAGAAGCATGAGGGGAAAAGCAGGCTGTTTTTGGTGTTCCTGCAAGTTGTATTGAGTGTGTTGGCACAGTTTAACACATGCGGTTCCACTACCTTGCACACAGGGTTATTTCCAGGCAATGAGAGCAGCAAAGTCAGTAACAGGAACCTCCAGTAGGCTCCCTGTTTCTTGCTAACTTGCTTCTTATCTGCTATTGCTCTCTTTTAATATAACTTGATTATTTCTTCCTTTGATGCCTAAATACTTCTTTTCACTTATCCTAGAAATGTATTTAAAATATTTTTGTAAGTCACTTCTCTCAGTATTTGTCATTGCTTCACTGCAGTCCATGTCACCCCTGTGTCTGTAATATGAGGATTAGATCAACCTGAGGTTATAACCATTTTATTGCGACCTGTTTTGTTTGTCTACTATGTGATCTGACACTTGCTTCCCAAAACGAGCAAATCAGGATGTATGACCATGACAAACATGACATAAAGTAAAAAAACCTTCTTCCTTCTCCCGATTTAGTCACAACTTCCCCATATCCATGAGAAGTGAGGGACAGCACAGTGTTCATGGTTCCCTTCTGTCTACTTGACAACCTGAGAGCCTCACTGGTGCATTCACTGTCTCAGGAACTGAGAATATACATTATGAAAGGTTTCTTATTGTATAGTTCAAACTATTGAATTTTCTAAAATCAGTGAGAATATACAAGATTCTTTATGTACAGCTCTGTTTTAGAATTCAACTTGTTAAAATGAGTTATTATATTGAGCATGGCAATAGTTTATTTTACAACTCATCATTGACATTGTAAGACTACTTAACTCTCCAAAAAATTGTGGTCAATTTTAAAAATCAGAGGTTTTGTGGGTAAAACCGTACACGACATTAGGATGGTGGTGTAGCCACTTATCAAGTTTTGCTTTCGAGCTCTGTGATATGCAAATGGGACAAAATTCCCTCCAGGTTAATTTTTTCTGACACCTCAACATTAAAGTGCCTATGCGTGACTGAAAAACCTTGGTGGTTGAAGTGAGAAATTTATATGCTATCTTGCAACTTGTGTATTGTAAAGGCCCCCCCCCAAAAAAATGATGACTCCTACTGCTCAGTTCAAAGTGCGAATCGCGTTCATCTCCACAAATACAATTAGTAGGACATGTGCGCAACTCGACTGCACCTCATAGAAGTTGCAAACAGGTCTTCTAAATCAGTGGCTTCCAGTCAGGAGTACTGGTACCCCAGGGAAGATTTCTGCAGTTGTGTAGAGGTATGGCTAGCGATTATGGAGCAACTAAAGTAAGGGACACATGATTTGGTAAACAGCTTTATACTTGTATAGCGCCTTTCTATGCTTTTACAGCACACTCAAAGCACTTTCACATTATTTGGCCATTCACCCATTCGTACTCATGCATTCACACACCGGTGACATCACCGGGAGCAACTGGGGGTTCAGTGTCTTGCTCAAGGACACCTCGACATGTTGACTGGACATATACAGAGATAATGTTAGTGAAAAGTGATGAAAAATGGTTAAATTAGATAACAGTAGCTAAAAGTAATTGATAAATTATTAGAATATTTAGATAAAAGTCTTAAATTATACCTCTTAATGTGTATTAAACCAGACACCTCCCAAGTGTAGCATCATAGATATAATAGCACCAGTGTAAATTTCCCCAAACATTCTCTCTGCGCTGTAATTGCATTTTGAATGCACATGTAGTATGTTCAGTAATTGATTCACAACTCATTATCTTCTTTGCGTGCATAGCTAGTGCTTGTCTTATCTCTTGTGCTCAGCGAAAGGACAAGAAGTAGTCCAAAGAAATTCAGCGGTCAGGTGAGCAGATTGTTTGTCATGCAACAACAAATGCTGTAAGAGATAGAGACAGATGATCGGATTATGAAACACAGATCAGAAATGTGACTATAAACCTCTTGTGGTAAGCTCCACCTCCTGCTCTCTACACAAAACATTCTGTACATTGGGGGATTTATATTTCCTTGGTGTCTCTGTGAGACTCAAAAAGAAAAAAATTACAAAACAAACAAACAAAGAAAACCTGTTTCACTAACAGGCTGTTTTACAATTCCTTTCCTGTGCTTCCCTTTCTGTCACTTCTCCATAATTCTTGGTATTTCAGTTAGACAGGCCCTCTTTGTGAAGCTTCCCCTTTTCCATAGATTCCTATATTTCATGACTTCCACTTCTTCCTCTTCGGTTGTACAAACAGAGGTAGAGGCATGGGGAAATCGGGCTGCTACCGTGACATGCAAACCGCAGGCTGGTAGCTGTGGGACTTGCAAGATCTGTCAGTTCTCTGAAATGTTTCTAAAGTTCTCTGGTGGGAAAATATGGAGCTGGTAACTCAGCACAGAGGACACTTCTCTTTTCTGATCACTTTGGGAACAGCAGATGTCACTTAGAGATTGCAGACTTTATAATATTTCTACAAGCAACAGTTTGCATTCAACATATCATGTAGCATGTTCTGCCTGTACTCCGTAAAGTTGGAAATGTCAACAACCACACAGATTAGGATTCCTGTAAATGAACAAGATGATAAAAAGGCCACATGCGAGTGTGCCTGTGTGTTCATTGCACTCTGCTGCTCTGATAGACACCGCTGTCGTCCCTAGTTTCACACTGCTTCCTGTGTCTCTGTTTCCTGTTTATCTTGCTGTCATTTGTTTCACCAAAAGTGTGATGGTGTGAGAGATGATCTGTTTCTTCCTCTCATCAAACACCAGACAAGCTGTCCACCTGTGTATCCTTGTGAAACAATTGGAATTGAAATAGCTGAAACATATAAGCAGCTAAGTCTGCAGATTAAATGTTTAGAGACTGTGAGTTGATCTTATCTGATGCTTGTCAATTATTTTCAGGCTGAATTCACAAACCAGCCTGAACTAGAAAGGGACATTTTTTGAAGTTTTGACGCAGCATCCCAGTAAACATGGAAATGTCATATTGTGCACTAAAGAAGGTTTGTCATTACAAAGCCATTTTAACCCTATTTATACTGTAGTTAAGTTGCAGTATTATTATACAGTGTCTAGCCTGACAGAAGAAAGAGGGAAAGAACAGAACCATGTTGGCACAGGACCACACTGAATGAGTCCCAGTGAAGTTGGGCCATATTTTATCATACTGAGTTTCAAAGTTCAGTTTCACAGTTTGGGTTTATTACATAGATTTTACAAAATGGTTCAGTAAGCACATCATTTATTTGTACAAGTAAGAAAAGCAATAAATAATTCAACATGCCTCATTCACACACAAAACAGGAAGTGTGCAGGTGAGATAAAAAAAAAACAAAACATGAATCTATGAAAGCAGCTCAACAAAATAAAAGGCTAAGCACCAAGAGAAACACAAATTAATTACTGAAAAAAAGGGTAAATTGTGTTAAAAAAAATAAATAGTACTATTGACAACAGTAGTAAATAACAGCTCATCTGTAAGAAAAACAAATTCACATGCACTTTTAGAAATGATCATTCATGTAGGTTCTTCTCATGTCACAGTATCAATACCACACTGACAAAATGCCCATCTTTAGTGTATAACATCATGAAAGAAGCATGCTCGTATTCTAAACCGTGCCCCCCCCGCCCTCTTTTCCAGCCTGTAACATTAAAGTTGAGGCTCGCAGTGATGAGGAGAATGCGCTGGCCTGTGACATGAATGGCGTGGAGGAGGAGGAGTGCGCGGAAGACTTGCGCGTGATCGATGCCTCAGGGGCCAAGGTGAACGGCTCACAGCCGAGCCCTGAAGCCAAGGCCTTCTCCTCAGCCGGCGGTATCCGGCTGCCCAACGGGAAGCTCAAGTGCGATATCTGTGGGATAGTTTGCATTGGTCCCAATGTGTTGATGGTGCACAAGCGAAGCCACACTGGTAAGCCACCTGCAACACTTCTTGTCCTTCCTTTGCACTCATGTTCACTGTCAGTATGAGAGGATGGATGACAAGTAGAGAGGTGTCTGCTGTGGCTCCTCCTCAGATTTAGAGCAGTTAGACTTTACAGTGCAAAAATGATCTCAGAGTAGTTGTCTCTTACTATTTTTTGGCATTAACACATCACAATTTTACTATACACAAACAACAGTGATAAAGTCTTAGAAAAGAACTTTGGAGCCTATTCTAATGTTTGTAGTCACCCTTATACTCTGTTGCAGCTGTAATGGCATGCTTGCACTTGGCTGTATGTAGATCCTCCTATCGTGTGTGAAATAGTCTTTGAGCATACCATTAGCATTCATTATTGTTCATCTAAATGACTGAGCTGCCACATGGCAAGCACCAGTAACTGATCAAATTATTGTGCGACAAAGTAGCAGAGACAAACTTGGTCCAGAAAAACCATGCCCTCAATTGAGAAACAGGATATCTGCTGAAATTAAACAGCATCTTCATGAAGTGACAATTATCTGACTATTAAAAGTTTTTCAAATTTCAAAATTGATATTCTATTGTAATGAAGCCAAACCAGTGGTGGGGAACATTTCTGAAAAAGGCACTTAACTGTCAAGCTTTAGAAACTAATGAAACTCAAAATGGAAAAAAAGGAACGCTAGACTAATGTAAATGCAAAAGAAAGTACAATAAAAGATATAATGAAGTGCCTCTTATTTAAATAGAAAATATTCTGTGGTGAGTCTTTGCTCCTGAAATGCATTTTTAATGAATTTCCTTTTTTATATATTTTTGCTGCTTCACTGGTGACTCTTATTTTATGGGGGGCCTTTGAAAAAACAGCCGTATTAAAACGTTCTCACAGAATGCCACAACACACGAAGAGGCTGGATATTGGTTTATTCCAGACGCGCTGATCAGGAAGACTGGCTTTCAACACAAAGTGTTTCCTGCGCTTTATTCAAATGAGGCTGAATTTGCATTGTGATGTGCCGCTCTTATTTTAGAGATGAAGAAGAGGAAAAAATGAGATTTTCAGATCAAATTGACCTAGGCAATGGTGCATTACGGAACTGGCAGGCTGAGTCTGAAAGGCTCTTGTTCGATCAGTGCGCCAGATACCGGTGGGGCAGGGGGAGCATGGAGAGATGGAGTGTCACTCTGCCGCGAAGCTCTCCCACAGGCTGTGCGATTGCTCTCTGCCCTGGCCACGCTCCATCTTATAGCTGGTTCTGGTGCACAGGATGCTTGTAGTGCAGAGATGCTCTGCATTCCAGCAGCAGCAGCTTGCTTTTTCATCCACATAGAAATGACAGATTTTGTGCATTTATTGTCGTCAGTGTAGGGACCAAACATGGTGACATTAGGGAGAGTAGTGCAATCAAGAAAATCCTTAAAAATCACTATTCATGCCTGATAAGAGACATGAAATACATACAGGATCAAATTGGGTGCCAGTAAAATATGCAAGATATTCTTTTCTCTGTCCATTTTCTGTGTGGGTTGTCTGCCTCTTTGCAGTAATATGTCCCTTGTTGTGTTCTTGTCCTCAGGAGAGCGCCCTTTCCAGTGCAGCCAGTGCGGTGCCTCTTTCACACAGAAGGGTAACCTGCTGCGTCACATCAAGCTGCATTCAGGGGAGAAACCCTTCAAGTGTCACCTGTGCAGCTACGCCTGTCGCAGGAGGGATGCCCTGACCGGCCACTTACGCACCCATTCAGGTGAGTACGCAACAACCATCCATGCTGTGAACCTCTGCACTGGTGATAATTCTGGGAATGCTGGGTGGATGCCTGCAGTGCACACAGCAAGAGCTCTGAGCTTTATAACAGGAAGTTAACAGGGTGTAGATATGGTGTCGCCTATTTTTGCAGAAGTATGTGTTAGAAAAATTTCTCGGGTTGTAAACAGTATGCTAACCAAGCCTGCTCTGAATAGATTGTTAAATGAAAACTAAAGGAATAACCTGCAAGATTACAGTCACACACATGAAAGCATCACAATCACTGCACTGCATTAATATTATTCCTATTATGTAAAAGTCAGATAATTGTTTCTGCCACCAAAGCCCATGAAAAGACTAAAACCCCAATCATCTGTCTATCAGTATTGTGGAATTCCCCAACGTGTCTGTGAACCTCAGCCCCAAACCTGTTGGTTTCAATGTGAATCTTAAAAAATGGCTCAAAAATATATAGTTTCATCATCAAATAATGTCCTATAACAGCTGGACACTGTAGTTCTTAGTAAATATTATTCATAATGTTGTTCAGAACAATTTTCCGCTCTGGATTAATACATGCTGGGATGCTATATGTGTGATAGACTCCAAAGTAACTAGTGCTTATGCTCATTTTATCGATGTGTTTTTATTGAATACTTTTTGAACTCTATGGCCATGAGGAATCAGCTACTGTAGTGACTCCACAATGCTCCCTCCTCCCCTACTGAAAACTGTGACCAAACAATACCATTGTCTGTCTTCATATAGATTATTTGTTGTATATTTTACTTATTCAACTGTGTATTTATAGTTTTTGTAAAATGTACTCCATAACCAGTGGGTCTAAACTGAGTACCCCAAGAGTAGTCTACAAGGCCAGAACTACAGGTTTGGTGGAGAAATAGTCAATCTATTATCATTATTATTGTTGTTGTTGTGTAAAAAGTAGCAGGATTTAAATTGTCTAAACAGGAATCGCTGAAGTTTATATTTATAAAATGTAGATATCAAGAAATATAAATGTCTACTTATATATTTTTTTTAAAAAACATGAAAAAACGTTTTTTATTATAAACGTCATTTTTACCCTGGATTTCCTCAAGATCAGCTGACAGTCAAACAGTGATGCTGTCAGGTATTTTCCTTGGGTTTTCTGGTTTTCTGAAGGTGGTGCTCTTTTTTTTTTGTCTGACCACAAGTCTTTAGTAAAACTCCACATTGTCTTATAATTATTACCCTGAGACTGGAAATGTAAACTCCAACACTGTCTGTGTTTTTTCCAGGAAGGAGCTACCATAAAGGGCATTTAGATTAACTATAAGTTGTATCATGAATGTGTAACTAAACCAAAATGTGTTAATTAAATAGTGCTATGGATTGCACAGAACTCTTCACTGCTCTACCCACTGATATAATGTTATTTTTTGCAGTAGGAAAACCCCACAAGTGTGCTTACTGTGGGCGGAGTTACAAGCAGCGCAGCTCCCTCGAAGAGCACAAGGAGAGGTGTCACAACTACCTCCAGTGTATGGGGCTGCAGAATAGCATCTACACAGGTTGGTGCTTCACAAGACACACACACTGCACTTTTACACCGATCTGATTATCTACTTTCATCTGAGCGAAGGAATCACTATGCACACAAACACAGCGTGCCATGCTGATGGTGTTGCACTGATTAGCTGCTCAGGTTAAATTCATGTCAGTTTCATTTGAATACAGACTCATGCAGAAGCTTTGCTTCAAAATACTGCAGAGCTGATTATGTCTGTTTAATCCTGCTCTCAGTACAGTTCTGTATTTGTCCGTATATACTCTGCAGTCATGAATTAAATGAATGCACTTGAGATACAGTACTTAATGTGGAGAGTGCAGTCTGGAAACACATGAACAAATATTTACAGACCAAGTGCTTCACATATGTCAGAAAAGTCCGCTCTGTGCTCTGTGAGGAAATGAGCATGAGGCATGTGTTATCAGGCACCAACCAGTTCATCACTTGAATCAGGACAAACTCAAATTACTTTGACTCTGAAATCTACTTTTCTGTCTTGCTTTCCAGTAGTAAAGGAAGAAAGCAACCAGAATGAGCAGAGGGAAGACTTAAGCCAGACGGGATCTGACAGAGCCTTGGTGCTAGACAGACTAGCTAATAATGTAGCTAAACGTAAGAGCACTATGCCACAGAAGTTTGTGGGTAAGGGCTGAAATCTGCTTCCTTTGTTTAAGTACAGTGTTTGCTACTTTTGCTGAAAACTCAGTGTGACTGCAGCACTTATGAAAGTTGTTATGTGTTCTTTTGTTTTGGACTTTTGTTTGTCACCCTGGCTCTGCAGAATGCATGCAGCATAATGGAACAAACCTAGCATTGCAGTTCAGCCTAAGTAGGAAGTGTGCCTTCATTAGGCACTGAAAGAAAAGACTATGTTTTAATATTTGGAGTGTTCATTCCTGTATATGAATTTTGCATTAAAATAATAATAATCTTCATAACAAAGGAGGGAGAAAAATAAGATATTATGAGTCAGAGGCAAATGCTAGTATCAGACTAGAAATACAGTAAGAGACCTTGTCAGTAAAGTATAACCTTCATATTTCTCTCATGTCTCTCTCTCTGGCCCCTCAGGTGACAAACGTCTGTCGGACCTGTCCTATGACGGAGCAGCAGGTGAGCTGATTCAGCCCCATGTCATCGACCAGGCCATCAACAGCGCCATCAGCTACCTGGGGGCCGAGTCGCTCCGGCCTTTGGTCCAGACCTCTCCGGCCTCCTCTACAGATGTGGGTCTCAGCTCAATTTACCCTCTGCACAAGCCTGCACCCGAGGGCCATGCTGGGACGGGCCACAGTCTGTCAGCCAAAGATAGTGCAGCTGAGAACCTGCTGCTGCTCTCCAACTCCAAGTCTGCCTGCAGCGAGAAGGACGGCTCGCCCAGCCAGAGCGGCCAGGACTCCACTGACACTGAGAGCAACAACGGGGATCGTCCAGGAGGGGCGGCCCCTGGTCTCATCTACCTGACCAACCACATCAACTCGGGGGTGAGGAACGGTGTGCTACCTCTGGTGAAGGAGGAACAGCAGAGGCAGTACGAGGTCATCCGGTCTAGCTTGGAGATGGCCTCCGAGGGCTTCAAGGTGGTGACAGCAGACGGGGAACAAGTGAGGGCTCACCGGTGCGAGCACTGTCGCATCCTCTTCCTGGACCACGTCATGTACACCATTCACATGGGCTGCCATGGCTTCAGAGACCCCTTCGAGTGCAACCTCTGCGGCCACCGGAGCCAAGACCGATACGAGTTCTCTTCTCACATAACACGAGGGGAGCATCGCTACTGAACCTCCATCAGCCAGAGAACACACTTGCTTTCACACAGACAGGAGTATATAGAGAAAACATGCACACACACACTCACTCAGCTCTATAAATAAGTGCATAGAAATACAAAATGTAAAATACACTGTTGATGTCTGAGGGTTGTGTTTTTATACAAAGTGAGCATGTTTATTGAACACAGATAAATGTATGCAATTATTTAAAAAACAAAAAGTGTTGTGCAGTGAAGACAACACAGCAGTTACTGTGCTGCATCTTATATAGGTTTGAAACCATATATTTACAGTTACCACATGTATAAAATGTACAATTGTGACCTTTCTTTTGGAAAACCAGGCAGAAAACCTTCTCTGGATGCAAAATAGAAAAGATTTACATCCTTTCATGTACAAATCTCTGTAATGAAGTGTCTGCAACATCAGTTAGAGGTCCTTTTCTGCAGCTGTTTCAGTGCAGGAAAACTCACTTTAACATTGGCTTTAAATACAATCAATAAAAATGTAACAGTCCGTGTAGATAGCGCCACATTTTTTTCAAAAGTTTAAACCTGTTCTTGTAATAACCTACATATTATTTATATCACATTTACACCCAGTCGGTTTTTGTATTTATTACAGTGATTGTTGTTTGTCTGTATGGTAGTTAAGAAAGCTGCATTTCTTTCTGTTCAACTGTCTTTAATGTATCTGAGGTGAAAAACATGACTGCTGCTGGAAGCTATTTTTTTGGTTTTATCATAAGAAAATGTTATTCTGGTTTTATATCTAATGGCTAAAAATTGTGTCACTCAAAAAATGAAAATGAGTCATTTGACAGAAGCTTTATGCTTGCAAAATATCAATAAAGGATATTTTATATATGCACAATGAGAGTTTATTTGTCTATGGTGAAAAGAAATAAAAACTCCAGGTAAATGAGAATGAACAGTGTTACCTCTTCGTTGTTACAATTATATGGTCCTAAAATACAGACACTTCATGGCCCAAATATCAGTTTTAATCAAACAGTTTTTCTTTACTAATCTTCTTGTTGAGGAATATGGAAATGCCCATATTAAAATGACTCCTCACACTGTTTAAATTAGGGTCTGGCTTCGGAGAATGATTCCTGGTGCTAATATAAAGCTCCTCTGAGTTTTACCGTATCATTGTACCTTCTTAAAAATATGGAGATTTCGTTTCACTCTCTTGCACCTTCTGAAATAATTTTAATAATAAGTTTAGTTGTCATTCAAGAGGTGGCTCAGTCCTGCCTGTCAAGGAAAAACCAAGAGTGAATGACTGGCATTTGTGTACAAAATACCAAAACACTGAGCACACTGACAAAACATTTACAGTGAGAGGGGAATAACACCTCTCCACATACAATCATATGCAATGAATTACAATAACTGTGTGGTTGCAAAATTCTTTCTCGATTTTTCAAATCTAACATTTGTATTTTCTTGTGTTTTTGTACATATAAATGATAAACTCCATAATTTCTAATTAAAAAATATTAATATTTTTGTTTATGTTACTGAGGAAGCGAAACGGTCAGAGAATACAAGGCCAACACACCACTATGGGGGTAACTGTCTGCAGGATGTGTAGTGTGGAGACCCTCCATTCACATACACACAGCAGCATGTCGCCATGTGTTGTGCCCAGGACCTTAGAAGTCCAGCTGCTCCTCTGAGGAGCGGCAGCAGCAGAGTGCTGAGACTGAGCGTCTCAGTCACTGGAGCAGAAGGCCGGGGCCGGGGCTCTGACGGCCAGCCTATCTGGAGAGGCCCGGTCAGGCCCGGTGGAGGCACTCTGTGGTATTGAGGGGTGACAGTCTCATCCAGATGGCTGCTGTGTGATTTAGCTGAAACGAGAAGCAGCTGTGGCCAGTGCTAAGTCCCCCATGCTTGACTAGGACCCAACAGGGGAGGGAGGGCATTTGCATGAGAGGGATAATCTGGCCAACCAGTTCTGGCCCTGCCAGAATCCCAAATCTCACTTCCCTTTTCAGCCATCTGACTGAAATAGTCCCTTAAGAATTAGACTTTGCTGTTAACAGGATCCAACATGATGTTATAACTTGTGATTTTTCTTTTCTTCACTTTACATGACTGTGTCCCATTAATGGACGTCCATAAGTGAATATTCAGTGCAAACCTTTTGAAGTTGGCCACTCTTTTTACCAGTGTTTCTTAACATGTGGAGTATAACAGCAATATCCAATGTACAGTTGAATATTACAGTTTACTGCCCCTCTTGGCAGTGTGTGTACTTAGGGCCCCCTGTTGTGTTCCAGACTAGTTCACTAAAGACATGTCTCCTCTAAACTTTGTGTAACTTGGATAACAGAAGTAAAATATTTAAAAAAAAAGCAAAGATTTGAGGAACAGTTCAAAAATGAATATTAAACTGTGTAGCAGCACTTTGCTTTTTCTTCTTTCCCACCCCATAAATGATCTCACAATACCTCATAGGCCTACATATCTTGTGACCTACTTAGAGCCACTGGACTAAACCACCTAAACGTGTGTATACAGCAACAGTTAAAACTAGTTCCACCTCAACCAGCTAAAACAATAAAATGCTAATTACACACTGATGCATCAGTGGCTTAATAATGTAATTTAATATATGACAGTATAACACTCTCCAGGGCCGTTTTTAGCCAAAAGAATATGTTTGGTTTTGATACTTTAAAGGTATAATCTTTAAAGTTTCAGTCATAGTTGTGCTGCCGATCTAATCACAGTGCAACAAAACAAGCCTGTGTTGTTTTAATAAATTAAGCAATATTAACCGCAAAAAAAAAAAAAACCCTGATCACATGATGCACAAGACGTGTAATTTTCTAAAATAAAATATAGGTAAGACTTGAATACATGCAGCCATTTGAATCCATCATCAACAGTGAAAAGAATTAATTCCTTGAATGGCTACTGATAAACAATGCTGTAATATAATTAAAAAATTTAAGGAAACCCTTAAGAATTATAACTTTAAGTTCAGTTTGATGATAATTCTTCTATACTTTTTTCATGTTCGATATTGATGCAGGACTTTTTCATATATTTTGTCATTGCCTAAAATTTTAACTGTATTAGTTAATATACATTATGTGTATGTGTGCATATATATTATAAAGTTGTGAATGTCTTTATTATGTAATTGATTTTTTTTTTTTTTTTTTTACAATGTTTTTACTCAAATCCTCTAGGTCTCCTGTGATGCATTTCTACAAATGTCAGTGTTCCAAATTCGAAAAACAAGTCCACCTACATTAATTTTTGCTTTTCAATAATATGTATTGTCGTGTGCGTGTAACCGCTGCTGCATAACCACAGTCGAATTGAGCTCCAAGCTTGCACCATATGGCACAGTTTTCAGCCTGTACTCTATGGATCCTGCCAGCACCACAGGAATTCTGTGCATCGATCCCAGTCCAGCTGTGAGGAGCCCCTGTGTTCGGACATGCCCAGGGGGTTCATGTGACTTCTTTCACTGCTGGCTAATTCAACAAAGTTTCAATACAGTGGCCAGCCACACATCTGAAATATTTATGATGGACTTGACAAAAAGATGAAAAATAAATGAGTCTTTTTTTTCATGGTCCTCCAGATTTTCAAAGATCATTTCATAAAATTTACATGAGAACTTCATTTCATGTGTTCACAATCTATAATAGTCCTCTTCTTCACTAGTGTATGAGCAATGAGGCATTCAACTTGAAAACATCAACAATGCTAAAATGTTGGCCAGAACCTTACGTCTGCAGCACAGAGCTGAGAAACTGATGGACACTTTCACATGGATGCAGCTACACCATGAACCCTATGGATCAGTCAGCACTAAAATTATGGCACCCACACATATTGTCTAATAAAAAGGATGTATTGCAGTAACAGATTTTCCTGTTGAGTCCACTGCTTAACATTTACAATAACAAGAAAGGAAGCAGAACAGCAGAGCTCTCACTGGGTTTTTTTTTTTTTTTTTTTTTACGAGACCCAGGATAGTCTCTGAATTGCCCAACTTCCGCGGACATGATTAGCACATCCAGCTCAGGAACATTCAGGAGAACTACAGCAGAAATTGGGCAAAATGTTACAAAGATGAGCAAAAGATGAGCAAATAAAGCCGCGGTGGAAGTGATGATAGTGCCCTCTGTGGCTTAGATGGGAGAGGATCAAGGGGATGAGTGGAGGGGAACTTGCATTTCTTTGTTTCAGTTTGGAGATTAACTCCTAGAAATATGAGGTACTTTGCCATTTTTGATTTTATTAGGAAATAAGTACAGTTGCAGAAATGTAATGAACTGAAACAAACTAAAGCATTGACACCATATGTTTTTATTTAAATGATGCAGCTGAGAATATGTAGGGAATAAATACTAAATATGCTGAATGCTCATCCTTAAAAGAATTACAAAAGACATTTAAACATAATTGTTTCAGGTGGAACAGAATGCGGTGCTTAATGATTAAACCAAAGCACAAAGCAACAATAGCATTAATATCTAAACAGTGCGCCCAGAACAAAACATCTGAGAAGAAGCTGAATGCATAATGCAAACTGCTGCACACAATCTAGAGGAAGCCTTGCTCTCTATATGGGTTCATTTCAAACACTCTCAAAAATATGCCAACATATTACTCTCCTATTAACTTGTGTTTATATTTCTCTTTCAAGTTACAACAGCTTGAAGGGGAAATGTTCCAAAATATCAGGCTGGTTGTAATGAGATTAAAAATGAATCATTAGACACACAAGAGTGAATGAATTAACAAGAACACCTGCTCAAAACCACTGTAGGTGCAACTGCATAGTGGACACAGTGGATCCCAGGATCTGGAAAACTATCTTTGTGAAGCCAGAGGGGCTCCTGCTGTGTTGCCCATCTCCTCTCGGTGCTTTGTATGTTAAGCACAAAATATTGTCCAAAAGTTGTAAATGTACCCAGAACTGAAACCTTTTCCCCAACTTAGCAGAAAATAACCATAAGTTGAAAACGGTTAGAGGAAATCAGGAGTTTAATGTCCACATCCAAAAGTCTTATTCCACTCTTCATACAGTTCCAAGTCTTTGGATGAGACACTGGGTCGTACCGTCTTCAATGCCTCCTGGAAGTCACTGTAGAGGATCGGTCGCACCTGATCTGTGGTGATAGTGGCAATGTCACTCAGCCGGATGCTGCGGATGGGCCCCAGTGCTGCTTCTCGACATAGCTGGGTCATATCGGCTCCGGAGAAGCCCTCTGTGGCTCTTACCACACTCTCCAGCTCGTGCTCTCTCAGCTGGTTCTTCTCTCGAACCATGAGGTTAGTTACTATCTGCTGTCGGGCAGCTGCTTCAGGTAGAGGGATGTATAACCGTTTTGCCAGGCGTCGACGAGCAGCCTCATCTATCTCTTGAGGCCGGTTGGTGGCGCCCACCACCAAGATGCGGTCATCGGCCGCGGTGGCTGCCCCATCCAGTTGAACCAGGAACTCGGTCTTTATCCTGCGTGATGAGTCATGCTCCCCATCTGTCCGCTGAGACAACAGTGAATCAATTTCATCAATGAAAATGACAGCGGGCTGATGGCAGCGGGCAATGGCAAACAAGGCTCGCACCATTTTTTCTCCTTCACCCACCCACTTGGATGTGAGTGATGACGCACTGATACTGAAGAAAGTGGCACCTGACTGACAAGCGATACATTTTCCTATCAGTGTTTTTCCAGTTCCTGGAGGTCCAAACAACAGGATGCCTTTGGGCGGACCACGGAGACCAGTAAAGATGTCAGGTCGCAGCATGGGCCAAACCACAATTTCCTTTATGGTGGTTTTGGCGAATTCCAGGCCTGCAATGTCATCCCAGACCACAGGAGGCCCGTGGTCCATGATCTCACTCATGATCAGTTCAATTATCTTTGGCTCAAAGTTTTTCAGACGCTCATCCAAGATCTGAGGCTCCTGACTGGAATTTCGGCTTGCCCCATTTTCCTCTTCCTCCTGTCTTGGAATAGGTGACACAAATTTAGAAGATGCACCTCGAGGCCTGTTAGCACCCAAAGATTTTTTCACAGTTGCTGCCATCCCAGGGGTCTGACCTCTTTGGGGTTGGTGGGAGTGTTTTTTCTGTTGATCAATGATGAACTGCTCACGAGCTGTTCTGAAGTTGCTTCCAGATCGGTCAGTGGCTGCTTGACCTCCCTGTGGTCCCCTGCTACTATCCTCTCCATGTGGGTTGTAAAAATTCTTACGCTTAAAGGGGTTGGAGATAGGGATGGAGGAGCACTGATAGTTTTGCATGCTACCTACGGGGCCACTGTTTCCCTGTGGAAGAACTGAAGAAGGATGACTAAACACAGATTGTGGTCGGGTTGGAAGTGTGGAGGAGTTTGTGATCAATTGAGATCCTAAAGGCCTCTCTGCAGAAACATCAGCAGCATTACTGGCAGTGTTATTAACCTCCGTTGTATGCTGTGGTGGTCCTATAGGTTTAAACAATGGGTCCTCTGACCTAACTTCGGTGAAAGGAGCAGACAGGGAGATGCCTCCACTCTGTTGTCCAACAGATATGTTACCATCTGCTGGTGCCACCAGAGAGTCTCCTCTACCTTTCTCTGCCTGAATCATCTTCTGCACAGAGGGCAGCTCCAGTACACTCTCCATGGTCAGGGACGACTCCCATTTGTCACTGTAGTTCCTCTGACTGCGGGCCAAATGCAGCACACCTTCTGCATAATTGTTAAGGCCAGTGGTTGGGTCATCTGAGTCCAGCACTGCTGCATAGCGCTCCGAGTAGGTTCTGAGCAGGCTGGCCATGCCGGCCTGAGAGAGCTGGGAGCTTGCCCATGCATACTGAATGGAGAGGATGTGGTCCCGGTAGGCATCGGCCATCTGTTCAGGTGTACAGTTGCCAGATGAAATGTCAAAGGACCTCCTTTGCCATTCGTCCAGGTGTGCACTACTCATGCCTGGCCTGCTCCAGCCTGGTGAAGGAGAGGGGATAAAGGTTATAAAAAATACATGACCTCAGTAAAAGCCAAGGCACACATCAATCCTGACACATACACATAAAAAAAGCATATCTCATAATGCTACATTCTTGGATGTGTGTGAGCACAGGATACAGAGACCTTATAAGAAGGGTTACTCTGGTGATTTAGTATTGCACCTCTAGATAGATAGATCAATACATAGATACTTTATTGATCCTGAGGGAAATTCAGGTATGAAGTTGGGGACACAAATCATATGGTCAATACTGAGGCGGTGGATGCTGAAATATCCTGAGTTTTATATATGTCTCATGGTGCTTTAATCTGCCGTGTACTTTGGCTTTCAAACTCATGCCTTTAGGCACACATATGCATTTTAAGCCTCATTAGTAACATGTATATGAGTCAAGTTCCAGAAACACTCTGATCCAAAACTGTACATTTTCATTACAGCCTCTCTTCCTGCTAAACACCCATGTGCTTTCATTTTCACACACCACAACTGGAAACGCATGCGGTTTTGTCATCAACCCCCAGTGGAGATAACCCTTAATCCTCAGGAGTCATTTCAGCAGACTGGACAAAACTCCTTCATACCCACATAAAAATACTATACAGCTGAGTAATTCTCCCTATGACTTCTGAACTGGAGATGCTCAAAAAAATCGGCGGAATGCATTTTAACTACACTAAACTAAACACTACTTAATTCAAACTTAACACTACTAAATTCGGCTAAAATTTGAGTGAGCTGTCTAATTTTATGGATATAAAGCCGCAATTGAAAGAGGTTCGTTGGCAAAGCTGCTACGGGGCTCTTTAACATTACGTTATTCATTATGTCAAAGAAACCTTCGAGTATGCAATCTCAAAAGTTATTTTTCATTTAGTAGGTTCCACCTACTTGTTTGGTAAAATACTACACAACAGGCTACAATTACTGAGGGACGCCACTTACTATTCGTGATATCTTTTTATTCTTCTTGATACACTGAACTGAAATAAATGAGCATCACACTACTAAAACAACTCTTTAACTTCTACAAAGTTGCCGTACGCTACTTTACTCGCTGGTTATTTGTTCCCGCCACGTTTATTTCTCAACACTACAACTTCCGGGTACGTTCCAATTCCTTCTCTTCGACGTCCTAAACTAAACGTTTAGTGTTGCTACCATTAAATGCAGAGACCCGGTTCAAAACTGACCTAACGTTTGATTTATTCAATTGACGAAACGTCCACTCAAATTAAAAGATGATAACATTAATGAGCTGACAACTTACTTCAAACTATCGGAACGAGACCCACAACTTGTAATAAAAATAGGGAGCGCTTCATTTATTCTCCCGGTTCGCCCAGCCCTACCACTGCACTGTGTCAATATATTATTATTAAATGTTATTAAACCGCTTGATAAAAGTCAGCATAAGTCTCGTTGAATATTATAGTCTTCCCCAGAGTGAGATCCTCTTTCCTGAGTTTTATAATTTAGTCTTTCCAGATTATGGTTTCAACAGGTCTACAGATGTGTAGTGAGGTCTACGACGCCATTTTATGGTCACATCGGACTAAACGAATCTAAAATTCAAATCTCTTTAACGCGGTGCACTTTGGGAAGTGTAGTATATGCGTTTACAAATTCAGTCCTGCACTACATTCCGACGTAATTTATATGTTATTTGAATTTGTACTTGCACAAAAAATGTAATGACATATGTGTTCATTTATTTTTATTATGAATATGGAACTTTTAAATACAAAATACAGGTAATATTAGCGTATAAATAAACTACACTAACCACAACTGGGTAGTATTGTGTTTCTGCTGCTGATCCTCATAGATTAAAGCACACGCCACCGGTGGAAAGATAGACTGTGTTTGTGATCATGTGTAGCTAAGTAGATGGCTGGTTAGTTAGTTGACATTTTCTATAGTTTCTTTTCATAGTCTCTGACTTTGAAGGGGTATGCCGAAGTTTATTAGATAGCTGTTCACAGTGGTCCCGTTCCGTTAGCCATTTTGTTAAACCGGAGACGGGATGCAAATTAATCCAGAAGGGACCAGCCCATGACCCGGTAGCAGCGGTCAGTCACACCCTTGTATGAGGTCATTTAAGCAAATTCGTCTGCTGAGCAGCATGAAACTATCATCTTCCATATCTTATGCTCTGTTGAATAAACACACATTAACCCCAAACTGCTGAATTGGAGCCTCAGAGCACCAGGGTAAGTTAACCGGGAAACGTGGACTGGATATAACTGACTCATCGTCATGGTCTTGGGAGATGACGCCGGACAGTTTGCCTGCTATAGTGCCAGTCAGCTAGTTACAGCTAAGTTAGTCACACGTTTAATCGTTTTTATTATAGCCTTTCCTTTATAGTCAGTGTGCTATCATCAAGGTCCCAATGTACACCTTTGTCAATCGTGACGATAACAGCACTGTTTATGCTGAAGTTTCCAAAATCCTCCTCTCAACTGGACAGTGGAGGAGGCTGAAAAGAGACAATCCCAGGTTCAACTTAATGCTTGGTGAACGGAACAGACTGCCCTTTGGACGTCTAGGTAAATTATGTCCCTCCCTTATCTCCAATCTCCTATTATTGTTTACACTACTGTCACTGACTGTACACGGTTTTGAGTCACTGCTTATTGGCTGTACTATTTAGATTTATCCTAATTAGTCAATCCAGGTCTTATTCTATTTTAGTTCCTAAATGTTATGGCACCCAATACTAGGTGAGAGAGAAACTGTATTTCCATTTTCTGTATGTGCTGCACATATGGTGAATTGACAATAAAATCCTTGAACCTTATTTCATGTGATGCTGACAGCAGACAGGGAATTGTACAGCTGTTTGGTGTCCACCCACTCAGCATGAGACAGTGGCTGTGACTTTGCAGGGCTGCTTGCTCCAGCATCCTGTGGAGAGATGTATCTTTCATTTAGATGTGCTCTTGAGGCTCTGGTTGTACATATGGGCATTTAAACAGATTTTAAAATGTCCTCATTTGAACTTCACAGGTCACGAGCCAGGACTAGTGCAGCTGGTGAATTACTACAGAGGAGCAGACAGGCTTTGCAGAAAGGCATCCTTGGTTAAGTGTGTATCTGTCTTGTTTGTGTTACTAGTGTACTTTTCTGCAAGTAGGTTATCCAATAAGGACCATGTCCTTTCTTTACCTTTAGGCTGATTAAGACAAGTCCAGAGCTGTCCGACTACTGTACCTGGTTCCCAGAATCCTACATCATATATCCCACGAACCTCAACACCCCTGTTGCTCTGGCTACAAATGGCATTAACCATCTGAAGAACAATCCCAAGACAGATGAGCGGGATGTTTTCTTGGCCTCCTATCACTCTAAAAAAGAAAGTGGGGAGGGAACAGTGTGGATAGCCAAATCTTCTGCTGGAGCCAAAGGTAAAAATCTCTTATCTGCTTTTCATTGGTTTAAGTCCAAGATGCAAGTTAACCTTAGTCAGACATTTTACATTTGATAACTTCTTAGATTAGTGACTTACTGCTTGTATTGTTTACAGTTAAAAATTGAGTATGCAGTAAATGACATCAGTGACACCTTAACACCTTTGTTTTTATTGTAACAGGTGCTGGTATTTCGATATCCCATGACGCTAATCACCTGCTTGAGTACATCGATAATCAGGAACAGGTTTATGTCATTCAGAAATACCTGGAGAAACCTTTACTTCTGGAGCCGGGACATCGGAAGTTTGACATCAGGCAAGTCCTGCATGATTAAGACAAACCCACAGAGAATATGTTTGTCTGTCTGGACTTTGTAACTGAGGCTCTCATGGATTATGTCATGTTGTTACTAGGAGCTGGGTGCTAGTGGATCATCAGTACAACATCTTTTTATATCAGGAGGGTGTGCTGCGGACTTCTTCAGAGCCCTACAACAGCTCTGACCTCCAGGACATGACCAGTCATCTGACCAATCACTGCATCCAGAAGGAGCATTCCCTGAACTACGGACGATATGAAGAGGGGAATGAGATGTTCTTCGATGAGTTCAGGCTGTACCTACTGAACGTTCATAATGTCACTCTGGAGACCACCATATTACCTCAGATCAAGCAGATCATCAAGTAGGTCATGCTTGTTTTTGGATCACATCTAACGTAGCATAGCTTTCACACATCACATTAAAAGCTGAAACACAAAATGCCTTAAATTAGTATGTCAAGTCAAATCTGTCCTAGTTGAAGTAAATAACATATTCATGTTCACATTACTTGGTTGGTCACTAACATTTTACACTTGTAGATGGCTGGATACAAACAAGCCACTATGAAACAACTTTGTCATAGTTAGTGGACATGTGGCAAATGTAAAAGCCATGAATTTCAGCTTGTAAATAAGTGAGGTCCTTACTCCTCCATAGTATACAATCATTATATATTTGTGGAACTTTGGTAGGATAGCTGAAAAAAAAAAACACAGAATCAGTGGTGCTTTAATCTGCCGTGTACTTTGGCTTTCAAACTCATGCCTTTAGGCACACATATGCATTTTAAGCCTCATTAGTAACATGGCTGTAGGGATAGCATTATCATTCTTTTGGCTGGTCCACCTTTGATCCAGCCTGGTCCAGAAATACCTCAACGACTATTTTATGCATGCCTATGAACATTCCTGGTCCCCAGAAGATGAAACATACTGCATGAAATATTGTGACTTTTCCTCCAGATCCACCATGAGGGTGACGTTTGTGGCTCAGAGTGAAACATCTTGACAACAACTTGATGGCTGACCATATTTGCTACAGATATTCAGGGTCCCTAGTAGATCAGTTCTAAAGAACTTTGTGATCCCCTGACTTTTTCTTTAGAACCATCATCAGGTCAAAATTTCATTTTGTTCAATACTTTGGCTTATACCATAATACCTGCAAAACACCTGGTAATTTCCCAAATGTTAATGTGCTAACGCACTATGGGGAACATGGTAAGCACCACACCTGCTAACCATTAACATGCTAGTAAAATGTCTCTTTGGTGTTTATCACATTTCAGCTACCACTACATAAAGGTAAAGGTGGGCATTAGGCAGGAGGCATATTTATTGTGCAGTTCCTTCTCAAATGTCAGCAGAGGTCTGTAAAGGTCAGCAATTATTTAATGCCTAAGATGTTTCTAATGACCTTGATCACGTAGACATGCAATGTGAAGTTGTGTCAATATTAACAGTCAGATTACTGGGACTGAATTTGCTGTCTGGTTTTGCAGGAGCTGTCTGTCATGTATTGAACCTGCAATCAGCACCAAGCACCTGTCCTACCAGAGTTTCCAGCTCTTTGGATTTGATTTCATGGTGGATGAGAACTTCAAAGTGTGGCTCATTGAAATCAATGGAGCTCCAGCCTGTGCACAGTCAGTAACACTCAGCTGGATCAGAATCAGAAATGGGAAAATGCTTCCATTTGTTTAAAGCAAACCATTTGAGTTATCTTACTCTTAAGTTATTATTTTTTACTCTGATTTGAAAGTTTTCTCTTGCAGGTGAACTTTCAGTGTTAGATTTTGAATCAGTCAGCTAGCTGTGTGTTGTGAGAGTGCTTAGTGTCTTAATTTAAACTCATGAAATCTCTCATATGTGTGGGTAAATTAATACTTGTTTTATCGCTTTCTCTTCCAGGAAGCTATATCCAGAGTTATGTCAAGGTATAGTGGATGTGGCTATTTCCACTGTCTTCACCATGAACAGCAGCAGTGACTCCTCATCTGCATTCTCTTCCCCTTACTCCTCCTCTCCATCCTCCACCTTCACCACCAGTTCTTGCTCCTCTCCCAAACTGAGGGCTCCTCTTCACGTGGGCCCTTTCACTCGACTGTGAGCACACGGGAATATTCCCCTCATTTCCTCCAAATTAGAAGGTTCTTCATGCTCTGTCCTCACATCTAAACTGCACCTGAGAAGTAGCACGTGTCAGCAAGCCTAGCCTTTGTTTTTACCTTGCCTGTTGCACCTGGATGGACTCTTTCTTTTGTTTTTGTTTTTTTATTGTTACCGGATCTCCTAATAATGCACATAATGAATGTGAGGATGCTGAAGAATTGATGGACAAACTTTTTTGGGAGTTTCCGAATGAGAACAGACACACATCCATCCAGAAATGCTGCAGCTGAGACTGTAGTGCCTTACAGCCACGCCCCCTTAAAAAGACTGCCAGTTAGCTTGCTCGGTTTCTGTGACTCATACTTTAAGCCATTGCGCTGTTGCTCAGTCAAGTCACTGTGGTCAGGATCAGTCCACAGAAACTGGCATAAAACATAGTACTTTTTTTTATAGCTTACCATCAGCCATATGTACCCACTGGAATGAGCACTGCTAACAGTGATCACGAAGCTACAGGTATATATTTAAACTTATAAACACTGTTATCTATAATAGCTGATGTACTAACTCAGTTTGTCTGAGCTAAACATTCAACATGTGAAGGTTTGCCTTGAGAATTCCTTTAACTTGTCCATGTGGACACTATGTATTGTTCAAGACAGCAGGGTGGTATAAGTGAGCAGGGAGACCTGGGTGTAAGAGTGTCCCATCAAGCACTCCTGACCTTTGACCTCTGCTGCAATCAAGAGAAGAGCTCTAAAGTATTAGCACACATTATGCTTTCTCATGAAATCCTTTACAAAATATTACAGCTGAAGACACTTTGTTTTTTGTCATTACAGAACGAGCATGTTTGTGTGAAAGCATGTAGTAGTGTGCTCTCTCATACACAGCAGCGCCGGCCCCAGTTTGTAAAAAGCTCCCCTAATGTCCATTTTATTTCCTTCAGATGAAAAATGGACTGTATTTATTGCATGTTGTAAACAAGCGTGCGGGTTACGTTCTTGAAATGAAAGTAGAGTAGACTGTACAAAGTGTGTTATTGGTTATTAAAAGCATTTAAAGACCCAAGAAATGAAACTGAGTGACATAATGAACATTCATCTTTAAGGCCAGAAACACATGCTTCTTAGAGTGGTCTTGTAAACATAAAAGTCACCGTCCCAGGTCTTTATCAAGTCACTGCCTGACTCACTTTCTACGCTCTTGGTTTTATTTTTATCCGAGTCACATTTCATGTGTGTTTTGTTTCACGGGCTCCTTAAAGACGGTTTCTGTTCTTCACTTTTATTTTCACTCTATTTTTTTTGTGGATGGAGGAGACCTGAGGTGTAACTAACTGTTCAAGTTGACTTGTGTTAAATCAGATTTTTAAATTGGTTTAAAGTGTGTGACAGCTGCATGTTATTGTAGGTAGGTGACTTTTGAATTCCAGCCGTCGTGTTTCCAGGGTCTCAATAAGTCATTGTAGGATTTTTTTTTTTTTTTTTGTAGGCTTGCCTTTCATAATGTTAGCATCCCTGCTGTTCCTCTGTTTTGATCTCAGTCCAAATATTTGAAACTTTCTGTGCTTTGAGTAACACAGATTTATGTGTTTTCAAGAGTTTGAGAAATGAAGAATATGTAAGTAGCAGAAGGTCACAGTGCTTAAATAGTTACAAAGACAAAATTGTTAGGATTAATCCCATGAACTAAAAACATACAGTATGACTGATATACAGTATTCCATGATGTATGCTGAAATGATGTTTGAAAGATATAAATTTAAGTTAAAAAAGGGTGTTTGTCATGATTGTTTGCCAAATGTGTTAGAAGTGTTTGACTCTTCATTTTTGAAGTTTCAAAAGCAAATTATCAGTATTTTTTTTTATTCAATTTGAGGAAAATATAACACATTTGGGATGATATTCCACATACGATCTGCTAAAACATAGAGAAAAAAAATAATCAAGTAATTCCCACAACTCTCACAGACATGCCATCAGCTACAATGGCTTTAGAATCATCTGTAAGACCTCATTTATATTTAGACTGCTTCTCTCCCATTAATCTCTCTGAGTTGACCTCAACAATTGCTTTATCTAAATCATCAACATGTCTCTTAGACCCCATCCCGACCAGGCTGCTCAAAGACGTCTTGCCCCTAATCAACATGTCCATATTAGATCTCATTAACCTCTCTCTATTAACAGGCTATGTTCCGCAGGCTTTTAAAGTTGCTGTAATTAAAAGCCTACTCTTGATCCACGTGTCCTAATTATAGACCAATATCCAATCTCCCATTTATTTCTAAAATCCTTGAAAAAGCTGTTGCAAAGCAGCTATGTGACCATTTGCACAAGAATGATTTGTTTGGGGATTTTCAGTCAGGATTTAGAGTCCATCATAGTACAGAAACTGCATTGGTGAATGTTACCAACAATCTTCTCCTAGCCTCAGACAAAGGACTTGTTACTTATTTATCTACATTATATTTCATTTGTATTTTGTGGCATTCATGTGGACGGCAAAGTAAGAATTCCATTGTACAGGGAAACACGTTTCCTAATTGTGCATATGACAAATAAACACTTTGACCTTGTCTCCATACTTGTCCTCTTACATCTCAGTGCTGCTTTTGACACCATTGATCACAGCATCTTACTACATAGGCTTGAACATGTTATTGGGATTAGAGGAACTGCACTACGTTGGTTCAAATCTCACATCAGAAAAATCTTTTTTATGTTAATGATGCGCAGACTGAAGTTAGTCATGGCGTTCTGCAGGGCTCTGTGTTAGGTCCAGTTCTTCACTTTATACATGTCCCCTTTAGGCAATATTATCAGGAAACATGGCATAAATTTCCATTGCTATGCAGATGATACTAAGTTATATTTATCTATGAAGCCAAATGAATCAGATCAGCTGGTCAAACTTCAAGCATGTCTTAAAGACATGAAGGCCTGGATGACTTGTAATTTCTTACTTCTAAACTCTGACAAAACTGAAGTCATTGTGCTTGGGCCTGAAAACCTTAGAAATCTGCTGTCTAATCATATAGTTACTTTAGATGACATAGCTCTTGCCTCCAGTACTACTGTGAGGAACCTTGGAGTCATCTTTGATCAGAATATGTCCTTTAAATCACACATAAACCAAGTCTCTAGATCTGCCTGCTGTCACCTGCGCAATATTGCAAAAATCAGGAGCATCCTGTCTCAAAGTGATGCTGAAAAACTGGTCCATGCATTTGTTACTTCCAGGCTGGACTACTGTAACTCTTTACTATCAGGATGTCCCAATAATTCCCTAAAAAGCCTCCAGCTAATCCAAAATGCTGCAGCCAGAGTACTAACAGCAACTAGCAAGACAGATCTTATTTCTCACATATTAGCTTCTCTCCACTGGCTCCCTGTAAAATTCAGAATAGAATTTAAAATCCTTCTCCTAACATACAAAGCCCTTAATGACAAGGCTCCATCATATCTTAAAGACCTCGTAGAGCCTTATCATCCTAACAGAGCACTTCGCTCTCAGAGTGCAGGTTTACTTGTGGTTCCTAGAGTCCACAGAAGCAGAATGAGAGGCAGAGCCTTTAGCTATCAAGCATCTCTCCTATGGAACCAACTCCCAGTCTCAGTTCGGGAGGCGGACACCCTCTCTACCTTTAAGATTAGACGTAAGACGTTCCTTTTTGATAAAGCTTATAGTTAGGGCTGGATCAGGTGACCCTGAGCCTTCCCTTAGTTATGCTGCTATAGGCCTAGGCTGCTGGGGGGCCCCATGATGCTCTGAGTTTCTCTCCCCTCCCCTCCCCTCTCCTCTCTCTCCCTATGCTTCTATATGCCACCATTACACATCACTAACTGTGTGTCTCCTCTCTCCCGTAGTGTGTCCTCTCTCTCTCCCTGTACCTTTCTGCAGGTTGCCCTGGCCCTGGAGCTCTACGTCTCTGATGAGCAGTCACCGGCCACAGTTTGTGTGGAAGATTCATCATTAACATGAACAAATTGAAATCTTTCTGATAAATAAGAGTTGAACCAACTTAGTGCAGTTCCTTTAATCCCAATAATATGTTTAAGTCTCTGCAGCAAGATGTCGTGATTAATGGTGTCAAAAGCAGCACTGAGATCTAAGAGGACAAGTATGGAGACAAGCCCTTTATCTGAGGCTAGCAGAAGATCATTGCTGACTTTCACCAGTGCAGTTTCTGTACTGGGATTTGTTGGGTTTTCCCTATGTAATAATATTGATAACAGTAAGGTCTAGACCTTACTTTGTAAAGTGTCCTGAGATGACTTTTGTTGTGATTTGGCGCTATACAAATAAAATTTGATTTGATTTGATTTGAATAGCGGCCGTGGTAACATACTCCTGATGACCTCAGGTGTATACACCTGAAAGACCCTATAAATGAAGGCGCTGTTCGCCGGGCGTGGTGGCGCGCGCCTGTAATCCAAGCTACTGGGAGGCTGAGGCTGGCGGATCGTTTGAGCTCAGGAGCTCTGAGCTGCAGCGGACTATGCCGATCGGGTGTCCGCACTAAGTTCGGTATCGATATGGTGCTCTTGGGGGAGCCCGGGACCACCAGGTCGTCTAAGGAGGGGTGCACCGGCCCAGGTCGGAAACGGAGCAGGTCAAAGCCCCCGTGCCGCTCAGTAGTGGGATCGCGCCTGTGAATAGACGCTGTAGTGCAGCCTGAGTAATACAGCGAGACCCAGTCTTTTTACACTTTGTACTGTTCAACAATCCACACACGCGGTCAAACATTATGTGTGGACGTGATACAAGAGCTTCTTTTCGGTTCCTCCGTCTTCTGTTTTCCATGAAAACCTCCAGAAACCAGCTCTGTTTGTTGGACTTACACCGCCTCCACCTGGACTGAATGAGCAATAACCATCGTCAATAAAGGTCAGTGCAACACCACACATACTGTACCTACATACAGTCATTGTTGGCAAGATTACTTTTGAAATATAATAAGTTACTGATTACTAGTTACCCTGTTAAAATGTAATATAGAATGCAACAAATGTAATTATTTCATCAAAGTAACATAAGTTATTACTTTTAAGTATTTAAAATATTTTAAACTGGGCAATAAACCAGAAAAGTCCTAACATACATTTAGACCGGGCAGTATAACAACAGTACTCAGCACTTAGTATTGAGTACTGATGAAGAAAAAGAAGAAGAAAAACTAGAAAGAGAACTTTTTTTTTTTTTTTTTTTTTTTTTTTTTTTTTAGAAACAAACAACAAAAAGAACTGCTTCCTTGGCTTGCAAACTGCCAACAAACATCATAACATTACCTCTTACAGAGGGAGGGCTCAGCGTTCTAGATTTTTCTTTGTTTAACCATATTATAAAATTAATTGGATCAAAAGATTTCTAAAAAAAATTCAGATAGCATGTGGAATATCATCCCAAATGTCCTATTTAAAAAGGTTGGTGGTGTTAATTTCTTATTAACGTGTCCCTTACTATCCCTCGTGGATAAGCACAACTACTCTCCTCATAAATATTTTTTATGGAATAATGCCATTATCACTTACAACAATGAATCCTTGTTCTTTGAAAATTGGTTTAACAATAACATTCTAAAGCAGCTGTTTAACTGTGATGGAGCTCTATCATATGAGCACTTCATAGTTATGTACAGAATTCCTGTCTCCCAGCATGAGTATAATACTGTTATTAATGCACTTCCATCTGGCATTTTCTGTTTAGCATGTTCCTTCTCAAACACACACAGCTCTATCAATTTAGCTATCCCTGTTCTATCTTTGATAAAAGATTCAACAACATTTTTATAAGAAACCCCTCATTCCAAGAACAACAGCTGTTAAACATAAATGAGCATGCCAGACTCTTGATGGAAGAACATGGAACTCAAAAAACATCTTGGTAAGGAAACTGTTCTTACAGAATATGACATATTATTCATTTTTGACAAGCCCCATTTCTCAAGCAATGAAAAATTTATTATTAATCTGTCCATTATTTTGGCCAAATTCTTCATTCATAAAATGAAATTTCTGAAAAACTATTTGTAGTGAATATAATTTGTATTGATTTGCTTTGCTGTTGAAGACTTAAAAAAAATCATACGAAGAAGAACTACTTCCGGTGCCGAGCGATGCACTTCCTATGTCACCGTACACGTGATAAATAAGCATATGCATCCCCTGAAAGTGTAAGCATGGACTTTTCAACAAAGTGGAACAGTTTACCTAAAGGTCCGAGTTTAAAAAATCTGACCGAAGGAGGATTTGGCGTCATTAAGGAGTCTCAGCATGAAGCTGTTCAGGATTTAACAAAAGCCCACATTGAGTCGTTTGACCAAGCTGTCACTGACGGACTCAGCCGCGTCGTGCAGGTCAGTTGAACTTTATTTAAACAAACTTGTGAAACACAAAATATTAACGATTTAACAAATACAAAATCTACGTGTCATGGTTATTTGGCTTGCTGCGGTAGCCCACTAGCTGTAACGAACACTAGCACCAAGTTCACTGTTATGTCCTGTTTCGTTGACGTTGTTGTGATGTTGTGTTCAGTTTGTTGCCACCTATCACAATACGTCCTATAGCAACATTTTCCTTCTTTGTATGTTTTTCAGTTTTATATAATGTGACATCTCGTTCTCAGGCCATCCCGCCTTTGGAGTTCATGGTAAAAAATGAGAGGGTTAGCCTTTCATTTGTCGAAGCCACCATCTACAACCCAGTGGTTGCCAAAGGGAGCATCTGCAGGGAAATGAGAATGTTTCCAGCAGAGTGCCGGGGAAGAAGATGTTCATACAAAGGGAAGCTTGTGGTAAGATGGAGATGTGTATACACATTTGCTTTTCCCTGTCAGCCACAAGGACATTTTTTTCTTTCTGTCTGTATTTTTCATTTGAACAGTAACCTGACTTTTACTGCAGGTGTGAACTGTCAATACAAACAAGTGACTGTAAACTTAAGGAGTGGTCATTGAAGGATCCATACCTCTCAGAAACACGAACATATTTACATTTCTTTAATTTGTTACATCTCAGGCAGACGTCAACTGGTCGATCAATGGAGTTCCCAAAGGCATCATCAAACAGTCCCTGGGTCAGGTGCCAATCATGGTGAAGTCCAAGCTGTGTAACCTGCGTGGAATGTCCCCCAGAGAGCTCATAGAACATCATGAAGAAGCAGAGGTAAGCCACATAATAGAAATGTTCACAAGCTGAATAGAACATCTTTACTTCCATCTTTGTAAACTCCCTCTACCTCTCTGATAATACCAGGAAATGGGAGGCTATTTCATCGTGAATGGAATTGAGAAGGTCATTCGAATGCTGATCATGCCAAGGAGGAATTATCCTATTGCCATGTCAAGGCCCAAGTGGAAGAGCAGGGGCCAGGGATACACTCACTATGGCAAATATAATCCTCCAAATAATGTGCTAAAAACCACAGTTAAGGTGGTAGTGTAATATTAGTGTAGGCTCAACTAGTGTTTCTTTTATAATGGATGCCATCTTTTTATTCTCATAGGCATTTCTATGCACTGTGTAAAGGAAGAACACACAGCCATCAACATAACTCTGCATTATCTGGAAAATGGGACTGTCATGCTGAACTTCATCTACCAGAAAGAGCTCTTCTTCCTCCCTCTAGGGTTTGCACTCAAGGTAGTGATTTGGGGTAATGAAAAGAGATGTTAAATATACATCACAGAATATTTTAGAAAAATATGAGGTCTAAACATCTCTGATATATTCATAGAGCAGTTTTCTCTGTCATGTCCTTCAGGCCCTAGTGGACTTCACAGACTTTCGGATCTACCAGGAGCTGATCAAGGGCCGCGAAGACAATTCCTTTTACAAGAGCTGTGCAACTGAGATGCTGCGCATTGTCATGGAGGAGGGCTGCACCAGCCGCAGCAAGGTGCTCAATTACCTAGGAGAGCGCTTCCGGGTTAAACTGAGCCTCCCTGAGTGGTACACAAATGAGCAGTGTGCCAACTTTCTGCTAGAGTAAGGTTTTAATACATTACAACCTTACCAAAACAAAATACAGGTGTAGGTAGTGCATCTAGTAAAGTGATTTGTGGTCTCTTTTGATCAGTGAGTGCATCTGTATCCACTTGAAATCAGATGTGGAGAAATTCTACCTCCTGTGTCTGATGACTCGGAAGCTTTTCACATTTGCCAAGCAGGAGTGCATGGAGGAGAACCCCGACAGCATCATGTGCCAGGAAGTGCTCACTCCCGGTCAGCTCTACCTCATGTTTCTGAAGGTAGGTTTGTAAACTTTGAATGGACTCTGTCTTTTTTGACCCCTGTGCTGAAAAGAAGAAACCGCGCTGAGAGTTTAAAGCCAGAAATGTTAGCATGCAGTAAAGAAAACTTTTAAGTTAACATAGGCACTGACTAATTCTAATTGTTTTTGCACCGTTTTCTCAAGTTGTCTCTCTCTTAAATGACTTGAACTTGAATCTACTACAGTACATTTTAAATTAAAACAAAACATGTTTGTTTTAATATACAGTTAGTGATTTAACCCCATAAACCTCTTCACAGGAGAGAATGGCTGCCTGGTTGGTGTCTGTGAAGTTGTCCTTTGACAAGAAAGGTAGCAGGATGACTGGATGGTATGCCGAAAGCGTCAAGAAAATATTAACCCTTTGAATATCTGCTGGCCACTGGGAACCTCAGTTCCAAGACAGGTAGGACCACATGAAGTGAGAATTTGTTATGGTACAAAAAATTTTGTTCAAGTGCTAAATAATAGTTTTACCTCCTCTGTCCCCAGGTCTTGGTATGCTGCAGAACACAGGTCTGAGTGTAGTGGCTGACAAGCTCAACTTCATCCGCTACCTGTCCCATTTCCGCTGTGTGCACAGAGGAGCAGCATTTGCTAAGATGAGGACCACTTCTGTTCGTAAGCTGCTGCCTGAGTCCTGGGGCTTCCTGTGTCCTGTCCACACCCCAGACGGAGAGCCCTGTGGCCTCATGAACCACATGACGGCCAGCTGTGAGATCGTGACTCCCACCTTGCCCACCACATCCCTCCCTGCTCTGCTCTGCTCCCTAGGTGAGCACTCACTTCAGAGAACAGCTCTGTTAAATTAAATTGTGACACACTGATGCATCATTCTTCTGGCACAGTGGACTGATTTGCATTGTACAAACATGGTTTGTGTTTCTGGTGCCTAAGGTGTTACTCCAGTGGATGGACCTCCTGGTCAGGCCTATTCAGACTGCTACCCTGTGGTGCTTGATGGGGCTGTTGTAGGCTGGGTGGAGACTGAATTAGCCCCAGTTGTGGCTGACTCACTGCGCAGGTTCAAGGTATGATAGCAAAATTTAATGACTATACTGTGCATTTTACATGTTCAGACAAGTGATATTTAAATCAAATGCCTTCAGGTGCTGAGAGAGAAGAAGATCCCCCCCTGGACCGAGATTGTTCTGATTCCCAAAACAGGCAAGGCCAGCTTGTATCCAGGCCTGTTCCTTTTCACAACACCCTGTCGAATGGTGCGGCCTGTGCGCAATTTAGCTCTTGGAAAGCAAGAGTTAATTGGCACGTTTGAACAAGTATGTGGAAAATATCGTTTAAAAGAAGTTATGGTAGTTATCAGATCTGCAGCACACAGCTGGAACATTTGCTCATCTTTTTCTGTCATGCTTTACAGCTTTACATCAATGTGGGCATCTTGGAGAATGAGATCAAGCCAGGAGTGACCACGCACCAGGAACCTTTCCCTCACAGTATGCTCAGCGTGGTAGCTAACTTCATCCCCTACTCAGACCACAACCAGAGTCCTAGGAACATGTACCAGTGTCAGATGGGTAAGTTTGAGAGCACCTACACAGGTTAACAGGCTGAGTGGACAGAAATGTTCAATTCTTTTTGTTGCCATTTTGAGCTGCTGTGAAGCATTTGCTCAGACTAAACCCATTCTGTATGCAGGTAAACAGACTATGGGTTTCCCCCTGCACTCATTCACGGATCGCTCAGACAACAAGCTGTACCGGCTCCAGACCCCACAGAGCCCACTGGTCAGGCCCTACATGTACGACCACTACAACCTGGACAACTACCCCAGTGGCACAAACGCCATTGTGGCAGTCATATCCTACACAGGTTACGACATGGAGGATGCAATGGTAGGCAAAACACGATGACAAAATTTTTTTTCAGCAAATACAATACTGACCTAATGTACTAGTTAATGACAAATGACTTTTTAGAGTAAAATCCTTACACAATTTGATCTTATTAGATTGTGAACAAGTCATCATGGGAGCGAGGCTTCACCCATGGATGCATCTACAAGACTGAGCTGGTTGACCTGTCAGACAAAGTGCGGGGAGAAGACAGTGTGGTGTTTGGGACCAAGCCAGGTGATCCTAAGGTGAATGAGAAGCTGGATGCTGATGGACTACCTCACATTGGATCAACACTTCACTACGGAGACCCTTTCTACAGCTATGTCAACCTCAACACTGGCCAGACCTTCATCAGCTACTACAAGTAAGTGTCAACATTTCTGTGGTAATATTTTTAATCAGCTCAATACAGGCAGTGCCGCTTTCAACTCATTAAATAATGATTTTACTTTCAGAACGATGTATTTCGAAAAGCAACTTCTTTAGTATGAATTCTTTGTTTTGCAGCTAAACCTTTCCAATTACAATCAGTAATGCTTCTTCCTGTTTTCTTCTAGGAGCCAAGAGGCTTGTGTTGTTGACAATATAAAGATCTGCAGCAACGACTCTGGCTCAGGCCGTTTCAAACGCGTCTGCATTACTATACGAGTGCCACGAAACCCCACCATTGGTGACAAGTTTGCCAGCCGCCATGGTCAGAAGGGCATCCTGAGCCGCCTATGGCCAGCAGAGGACATGCCCTTCACAGAAAGCGGCATGACTCCTGATATCCTGTTCAACCCCCACGGCTTCCCCTCTCGCATGACTATTGGGATGCTGATTGAGAGCATGGCCGGCAAGTCTGGTGCCCTGCACGGACTGAGCCACGACGCCACGCCCTTCACTTTCTCTGAGGAGAACTCTGCATTGGAGTACTTTGGTGAAATGCTCCGAGCTGGAGGCTACAACTACTATGGCACGGAGCGACTGTACAGTGGCCTGAGTGGTCAGGAGCTAGAGGCCGACATCTTCATTGGAGTCGTGTATTATCAGCGGCTACGTCACATGGTCTCAGACAAGTTTCAGGTGAGGACTACCGGAGCACGAGACAAGGTAACTAACCAGCCTGTGGGAGGGAGGAACATCCAGGGAGGCATCCGTTTTGGGGAGATGGAGCGAGACGCCCTGCTGGCACATGGGTCTTCCTTCCTGCTTCATGATCGCCTCTTTAACTGCTCTGACCGATCAGTGGCTCAGGTGTGCGTTGACTGTGGGAGCCTGCTCTCCCCTCTGTTGGAGAAACCACCGCCTTATTGGTCAGCCACACGCCACCGCAAGACAGTATGTACCCTGTGTGGCAAAAGTGACTCTATCGACTCTGTGTCTGTTCCTTATGTCTTCCGCTATTTTGTAGCTGAGCTTGCAGCAATGAACATCAAAGTCAAGTTAGATGTCAAGTGAATTTTGGAGGAGGATAACTACAGACACATTCCTTAAATATAACGTGGTACAAATCAGAATAAATAGTATAATAGGAAAGTGTTTTGTTAAAATGGACTTTGGTAAAGTTCCTAGCATGAACCACAGAAAGACACATACTGTATAAAGGAATAGCCAGGTGCCTGAGAGGGTTGCCTTTTTTGTCAGAAGTGTTTTATTAGTCAAGATATTTGGGAAATGACCAAGTAGCAGCAGATGCTGGAATGAATGTGTTGACATCTGTTGATGTGTGTAAAAGTATCTCAAAGGACTTTTTGTACAGTCATTCAGACTGTGGAATAAAAATGTCACGTTTGTACATTCAGACTGTGGAATAAAAATGTCACACATGTTCTTGAGGTTGATTCGTTTGACGCTACACTATATGTGTACAGTATTGGAAGAGGTATTCAGATTCACTACTTAAAATACAAACTCTGTCCTACTTTAAAATCCAAGTAAGATTATCAGTAAAATGGAGGCTACTTCAAATATCACAAGGAAGGTGCACTTTGTGCAAGAAAATGGCTCCTGTGGACTGTCAGTTAAGGCTGATGATACATAAGTAGAGTTTTACTGTTGTGGTGGATCAGGGTAGAACTAGTTTGAATTACATTATGAAGTACTGAAATTGCTGGGAATCTTTAGCTGTATACTATATTATAATTTTTAAAATCTTTATCAAGAGTAGCTAGTTCTCTAGTAGAGTACAAAGATTTTTTTCTTAAATGTAGTACAAGTAATAAAGGAGCAGAAAATGGAAGTGTTCAAGTACACATACGCAGTCACATTTAAATAGTTTTTCAGTAAATGTACTTACAGTACAAATAAAGAGTTGATACCGGAGTGTCTGCACCGATCAGGTTTTACTATGGCCTCAATGTATTTAAAGGACTTCCAGTATATAATCTCTTGGCAGTTAAAACCATTTCATTTTCCAGTTTTCCTTATTTCAGTTGAGCCAGAACATCTGGCAGATCCAGCACAGTCGGGATGGTGTAGTCTGGTTTTACAGAACCATCTGGCACAGCACGTCCTGCTCTTCTGATCCAAACTGTAGCCCGTACTCCAGCATTAAAGCCCCCCTGTATGTCTGTGTCCAGAGAGTCTCCCACCATAACACAGTCTTGGGCTTCCACCTCCAACATGTTGAAACACAACGTGAAGATGGAGAGGAATGGTTTTTGCTCTGCATGTTCTCCCCCGATCACAACAGCATCAAAGAACCTCTCACACATGACTGCCTCCACTTTCTCTCTCTGAGTCTGAGCTTCTCCGTTGGTCAGCAGCAGCAGCTTGTATCTGCTGTGCAGCTGTTTCAGGAGGTTGCATATTTCAGGGGACAGACTGAGCACTTCCAGGCGACTACTTTTCCACAGGTAGTAGCACTGAGCTGCCAACAAGGGTGTGGAACTACTGCCGACAGTCTCCTGGATGCTCTCCTCCCAGTGACTCACACGGACATCGTCTATGGATCTGTCTGCTGCAGGGTCAAAACTCTCATGGTGAAGCTTCTGCTTGAACTTGTCACAAATTCTGTGGATTGTGTCATCGTTGAAGCCCAGTGTGGTTTTCAAAAGTTCACTGGTCTGTAAGAATCACACACACAACAAAACAGAAAAATTGAAGCTCATTAAATTAAAACATGGCCATCTAATTTAGGAAATACTTGGACAAGGTCAGCCTTGAGCTATGTAGGCACAAATAAGAAAACTTATTTTAATGGATATGGGGGATTTACAGTAGCAACTTAATATGTATAAATGTACTGTACATAGAGTAGAAAGACCACAATGTAAAGACTCCACAATCAGCAGTGCTTTGCTTGTAAAATCTTTGCCTGTAGGACAACTAAAAACCAAAATTTGTTTTGAATAAAAGGGTGTAATCTGTATTGTTAAGGGAAATACTTGAAGGTGCAAACAACACTAACAAGTATGAATGAGAGAAGACATTTTGACCATCACCACAGGAAAAACAAGTGTAAACAATAAAACTGAAGATGTCAGTGTCACTAATGCCTGCAAATGGTATTTCAATGTGATACATAAATAACAGACTTACAAAATTTATATCTGCAGAATACACAAACGCTTAGTGTGAGTGTATTAACCATCGACAATCATTGAACTGACACCGGTGACATGATGCATGCAAACTTTAAAATCAGCTACGTTACACAGTCGCAGATTTTCCCACGGTCATTGAACGCGTCTTAATTTAGCCCATCAGAGGGAGCCTATATGCTCATAACACAATTTTCGGGGCAATTATCGTTTAACATCACAAACAGCCTGGTTTTAACTCACTAAATGACATTATTGTGCGCTTGTTAAACACAGGTGAGAAGTAGTAGCCTATTCGCCCTTTACCCCACCATTACGTTAGACTGACGTGGGCGTTACAAATATTCAAGTTAACTAGGCCTGCAAATGCTCAATAAATCAACACTTCATCACCTTTTGTATCGCAACTACACCTGCCCCACTTGTGTCAATGAGCGTGTTGTCCAAGTCAAACAATATTGCCTTAACAGCTTTGTTGTCCATTATAGAAGAGCACTCTGTCTCCTACACCAAAAATGCTGTTCACTTAGTTCCGGAAGTCCTGCCGGGTAATCTGCATGCTGGGAGTTGTAGTACTGATAAATATTGAGTACTTGCAAGGTTCATTCTCTAGAGGGCATAAGTAGGCTAGCCTAAATAAAATTTAAATTTCTGCCAGCCCTTCTTAGTAAGTTCCTCATAAATCATTAAAATAATTAGGTAAAAACACTGCATGTCACTAAAATATGTGCATGCTGTAGACCTTTATTTAGCCTATAAAACCTCACCAAATTATATGGTTACTGTACAGAGTACACATTAAGACTATAAAAAAGCAATAAAAGAATATAAAATAACTAAAAAAAAATAAATGTACAGAGAACTATATACACATGATACTATAACTCACAACGGGAAAATTAAAGTAATTCGTTTTGTTAGCAGAAATGGTCAGCGGAGCGGCTGATGAGTTTTGACTTGATTATTTCATTGTTTTATACACACACACTCACACACCATTATCCATTGCAAACAGGTTTTCCATTCATTGGTGACTAAACTGTAATTGGACCCTGCTTATATTTTTCCTCACTTAAATAATTTTTAGAACAGTGATGATAAACAAAGTGGAAAAATAGTCAGTGCCATCACTTCTATGTAAATGCCCTATACGTGACTCTTGACCATGGATATTGCCAATTTAAACACGTATTTCGTGACAGGCACTCTTTCAAAATCAAAACATACCACAGTTCTTATGCAACCTGCCCTTTAACTTGCTTTCTCATTTGGCAACATGCCAGTGGTTCACACGCAACGTTGTGCAGGCTGCTTGCACTGTTCTACCAAACCCAATCAGAAATGATAACAATCCTTTCTCACAATACCTGAGAGTTTTCTGATTGTAGCTCTGGTGCTTGTGCTTGGTCTAATTATTTAAATTATCTTGGACAAGAAATTTCAAAGATAAACTATAAATAAAGAAATGAAGTGAGGGGCCTAACCTGCTATTATCTATCAGAACAAACAACACATGCCGCTTGCATGTGAAGGAGGAATATGAAAGTTTAAAAGACAAACATATGATCTCAACCCCCCTCCCCCCTTTTCTTTATTACTTTTGACCTTACAAAGGGTAGAGAAACATAATCAGTAGATGCATGAAGAGTGAACCTACAAGTGTAAAGATGGAATTTCCCCTCTGATGTGGAGAGGGAAAAAAGAAGAAAATGACTTCCCTAATAGTCTTTGCCTGACTCTTCCAAGAAAGTGCAGGCATGGGTGAGGTCTGGTGTCTTTGTCTGCACGACATCATTTTTCCTTTATCTGTGTGGGTGGTCATGACTGCACATAGTCACACACTATTGCTCAGCTGGGCACAGATCCACTTAAGAAGACTAAGGATGTAGTTCCACCAAATAACTTACAGTCTTCATAGCAGGAAGATAAGACTTTGTTAAAATACTTTACCATCACCTGTTATGTACTTGTCACCATCCCTTGGTTCTTTATAATTGGGATGTTCTTCTAGTCTACAGCTACCTCTCTGGTGTGTGTGTTTGGGCCAAGTCTACTCCTTTTTCATGCCCAATTTTAGGTCATACATGGATTAGACAAGTGTAAGCCAGTGGGACAGGTGAGTCTTTAGCCCTTGGGGACACAACTAAATTAATGGTTTCACTGGCTTGTTGTGCACACACTATGTAACACTAAGCAGGCCACTTCAAATCAAGATATGTGGATTCCCTCACACATCTACAGTTCATCTGTGAAGGTGAAGCCAAATTCTTTATCTTCAGTCATTAAGCTGCTCTAAACTACTGAACATTCTTCCAAGCCGAAAGATTTGAATCAAACATGCCTATGATGCTGCTGTGATATAAAGGAAAGCAACTCTGCTGACTTTTTCTTATCAAGGTACTCTGATCAAGCTTTGCCTCTAATTCAAAGATAAATGCCACACACACACGCACACACCCACACATAGATGTGAGAATTTATTAGTTCAAGGTAATGTAACTAAAGTCTAAATAGAGAAACCCTGGTGCGCCCAATGACACTTATCATAAGAGGAATAACAAGAGGAATCTGGCAACCTGCACGTACACACAAACAAAAACAATTCAATCTGGGTAGGGATGGTGCCTACCACTCAGTTATCAGTTATCTACCACTCTCCATGACCAAGGAGCAATATGCTCTTCTGTTAAACTTATATAAATTGTGTGTTAGGGGCCTCCAGCCTTTTTTTTTAATATTAATAGCAGCATCACTGGTTGTTTGTTGTGACCTTTGTTGTCATCCTTCTCTCTCTATGCCCATATTTACTGTTAAGCTCCGTCTCATTCAGTAAAGGCTAAAACCATCTGGTGACAGTCAGTGCAGTATAGACTAACAAATCCTTACTCTAAATATGACAGTGTAATCAATAAAAACACAAACCAAAGCAGGGGGAGAGAAAAACACAACATCAGATCTATTGTATTATCTAAGAAGAAGCTGAATCTGTGTGAGATAAAATACTTGAAGACTTGTAGAGAGAGATTCTGAAGAATCATGGTGCTTCATCTTCATTTGAAACAAAATGATTGTCAACTTCCACTATTAACTGACACTTCTGATCACTGCATTCACTGTGACTCCAGTTTTTAATTCAGATAAGAAATCAGGGTGTTAAAATGCACTTACAAAATGTTGTGTAATTGTGATTATAATTTCTGTCAAAAACAATATGTTGCAACAAATTGATCAGTTCTCTGCTCTGTTGCCATGACTTTGGCAGTAATGGTGATGTTATATTTTTTACAAACAACCTAATAAAGCTTGGTCTGACAGAAATGTCTGTTTAAAAGACAACAAATTACAATGTAAAATACAGTATTAATGACAGCGATATTAGGGTTCGTTGAAGTGTTTTTAAAAGCCAGAAATTTCAGCACTTATCAACAGTCCTCATGTGGTCATTTTGACTAAAGGGCCAGTAAAATGATACTTTTTGCCCTATTTATTGGTTACTGATACATTTTGAATTCAGTTTGAGATGATAAAGTATTAGCATTCAAACAAATGGTTTAAACAAAGTTCTGTAAAAGACCAAAGTTGTTGTAACAGGTTCGACTAAGGCTGAAGAAAAAGGCTGAAAATCATAAAATATAATTTTAATTCCGTGCAACTTGACTTTGTGATGAACAAGCCTTCATTTAAATTTAGTAAATTATCTGAAATTCCTACTTCCTTGTTTGATTTTGAAAGTCATGGGTTTGCATGCATCATTTGCCTAGGAAAATCCCTGGAAGGGCATTTAGAGACATTGAGACATTTAAAAAAAAACGGGGCATCAAGTGTCAGGTGATTACTCATACAAGGTTTTGATCACAAACCAGAGCTCTCCTTTCAAGTGATCTTTCTGTACATAAAATCTCACAAACCAAATCATGCTCTAGTGTGTGTGGTCATCACCCAATCTGTACTGCCTATCCAATCTGTTCTACGCATGCACAAAGAAGCAGTTTACACAACAATGGTGAGGCTCGCACAAAAGCCATTTTCATGATAATATGAATACAGCTTGACAAGGAGAGCTGATTAATAGCTGCAATAGGCTCATATATCACTCCCCCCCCCTTAGATCTTTCCTGTACTTTACACTCCCTGTTTGTACCATCTGCCATCTACCCACACTGGATATTTCTGCAAGTTTCTGCTCAAGGATGAGAAAATAAACCAAAGCCAACACCAAAATGCAGAAAGTAGATGGTGTGTAGCTACTTGTTTCTGACTGATGCTGCTGCTTTCCATTTGAAGTTTTTTTTCTTCATCACAGAGGAGCACTAATGGCATGACATGCCCAGTGTCAGCTCCAGAAGTTTGAAAGTGGCCTACAGATGGAGGGTCTGGTGTTCTGGTGTTGATGTGGATGAGACATGACTCCATATGGATTCTGTGTAATTCTTGGGTCTTTGTATATTAGATAAGATTAGATTAGATTCAACTTTATTGTCATTACACCTGTACAAATACAAGGCAATGAAATTCATTTTAGTATCTAACCAGAAGTGCAATAACAGTAGTGCAGAGTGCGCAGTATCTACAGTATGTATGGTCAGTATCAATAGATATGTACAACTGATACCTAAGGTAAGTTATATAAGGTAATATACAATATACAAAATGAAATAGTGCAGAAAAGGAAGATAACAATAAGTTACATGACTGAACAGTTCAATGGATGTAAATAGTGCAAAGATAAATATACAGTATCTGCATATGAACAGTGCGCAAATGAACACAGAGCAGTATTCTGTGTGTAGAGTATGTGCAAATTAACAGATCACTTCAGTGTTACAAGTAACAGAAGTGTATTGCATTAGTCCCAGGAGGAGAGATGAGGTGCGTGTAGTGGTATAGAGGAGGGCAGTGGGGGGGTCAAAGGGGGATAGAGTTCAGTAAGGAGACAGCTGTGAGTCTACTGGTTTTGGTCCAGAGGCTCCTGAAGTGCCTCCCAGAGGGCAGGAGGTCAAACAGTTTGTGAGCAGGGTGAGAGGAGACCTTGAGAATGCTGTGAGCACATCAGAGACAGCATTCCCTGTGGACACCCTCAGTGGCTGGAAGTGGATCCCTGTGATGTGTTGGGCAGTTTTCACCACCCGCTGCAATGCGTTGCGGTTGGAGACAGAGCAGTTTCCAAAGCAGACTGTGATACAGCTGGTGAGGATGCTCTCAATGGCCCTGGGGTGGAGGTTCACTAGGATGGCTGAAAACAGGTGGTTTTTCTTCTGTGTCCTCAGGAAGAAGAGGCGCTGGTGAGCCTTCTTAACCAGGCTTCAGATTTTGGGGGTCCAGGACAGATCCTCTGAAAGGTGGGTCTCCTGGAATTTGAAGCTGGAGACACGTTCAACAACCATGATGTTAATATGGATTGGGTCGTGTGTGCCTCCTTTCTCCCTCCTGTAGTCCACAATGAGCTCCTTGGTCTTATTAGTGTTAAGGAGCAGGTTATTGTCAGCACACCACACAACCAGGTGCTGTACCTCCTCCCTGTAGGCTGTCTCATCATTGTCGCTGATGAGGCCGATCACTGTGAT